TTGAGGGACTTCAGCGCCTCCTTTCTTCTGCGCTCCAGACGTACTTCACTCCTTTTTTCTTAGGGCCTCAGGAGGAACTCTAGAGAGATTTCTGAAAGCAGGATCGGGAACGTTACGAATAATTCACCGAGTCTGCTCAGACGCGACACGAATAGTCTTTTAAAGTTCGAATTAGAAGAGAAACGACTGACACGAGCGCAGCCATGGCTGCGGAAGGGCCGTCGATGGCTGCTCCTGAGGCAGCGGCGGAAGGAGCGCCCGCAGGCGGAACGACGGGTGGAGCGGCGGGAGGAGCGGCGGGCGGAACGGCGGGCGGGGCGGCGGAAGCGGGGGTGATCTTCGTGCTGGAGAAGGCGTCGCTCGAAGTCGCCAAAGTCGGAAAGGTCTTTCCGCGCCTCCCGTCTTTCCGCGCCTCCCGTCTTTCCGCGCTCGCACAATCGCCTTGAATCCACCCCACTCCTTGAAACCCAGTCCCCTTAAACCCCCCTACTCAAACCCCCCATTCCTCCGCCCCCTCCCTCCCTTCCCCCATTCCCCCGCCCCCTCCCTCCCTTCCCCCATTCCTCCGCCCCCTCCCTCCCTTCCCCCCGCCCCCTCCATCCCTTCCCCCTTTCCCCCGTCCCCTTTCTCCCTTCCCCCATTCCCATACTCCCCTTCGACGTACGTGCTGCTCAACTGCGACGATCATGCCAACTTTCTGCGCGTATGCTTTTCCCCAAACTCCGCAAATCCTTACACCCTTTCCTCCCTTCCCTCTCACTTCGCCTGCAGACGTACGTGCTGCTGAATTGTGACGACCATGCCAACTTCCTGCGCGTCTCCATGCGCCAAACCCCTCAACCCCCACTCACCCTCCCCATTCCCTCCCCCCCAGACGTACGTGTTGCTGAATTGCGACGACCATGCCAACTTCCTGCGCAAGCACGGCAAGGACCCCGCGCTCTACCGCCCAGACATCTGCCACCAGGTGGGAGGAGGTTTGACTAGGTGCGAGCAGCTGTAATCAGGTGTGAGCAGGTGTACTGTGGTGGTGCACAGGTGTAGAGGAGTCAGATGAGTCGTGCAACAGCTTCCTGCGCAAGCACGGCAAGGATGCGACCAGGTGGGTGCGAATAGGTTTGGCTAGGCGTGACTGGGAGTGAGTGGGTATGACAAGTTGTTGGGACAAATGAAGGTGTGCGCCTGGTCGCATCCTTTTGAGTCGACTCAAAAGCCGTGCTTGCGCAGGAAGGTGTCGCGCTCAAGGGCTTTTCAACCCCACGCTCTTCCTCCGGAGGGCATTGGAGCCCTTTCTCCCCCGCCCCCATCCAGGGGGAATGCATTCCCCCCCTCTCCCCCACCCTCCTGCACTCCCTGGACCCACAGGCGCTACTAGCCATTCTGGATACCCCACTGAACAAAGCAGGGAGGTTGAAGGCCTTTTACGTGGTAATTACACGCAACACGCTCGTCCAAGTCAACCCCCCCTCCTCCCTCCTCCTGCCCCTTCCACAGGCGCTCCTAACCATACTAGACAGTCCCCTAAATAAAGCTGGAAGGTTGAAAGCTCTCTATGTGGCCACCACGCGCAACACGCTCATCCAAGTCAACCCGCACATCCGCATTCCCCGCACCTTCCGCCGCTTCTGCGGCCTTATGGGTGGGTTGGGACTAGTGGGGTTGTCTGGGTGGGTGGGGGAATGGTTGGGTGGGTGGGTGGGTGGGTGGGTGGGTGGGTGGGTGGGTGGGTGGGTGGGTGGGTGGGTGGGTGGGTGGGTGGGTGGGGGAATGGTTGGGTGGGCAGGGTCGATGTCTGAGGTGCCTGAAACGTCAACCCCCCACATCCCCCTCCCCCTCCCCCTCCGCTGCTTCTCCAGTTCCAGAAGCCCTTTTCTTCTCCTCGCCATGTCCTCTCCTCCGCTGCTTTTTGAGGCGCCTCGAAAACCTCTTCTCTTACCTCCTCCCTTTCCTCATTCCCCCCTCTGCCAACAGTGCAGCTGCTGCAGAAGCTATCCATACGCGCTACAAACGGGCCTGATAAGCTCCTCAAGGTCATCAAGCACCCCGTCACCAAATACCTGCCTCCGGGGTGCAGGAGAATAGGTGAGCTAGGAGAGTGGGAATCACTTTCACCCACCAGCACCGTACATCACTCCTCTCTTACTCACATGCAGCACCCACCATTGGTAAGCTCCTCAAGTTGATCAAGCACCCGTTCACCAAATACCTGCCGCTGGGGTGCAGGCAGGAGTACCATGAATTCTCAAAAGCCACACCAGGTGAGCTAGTAGTAGTGCCCGCTTCAGTCTGAACCACTCTCACACCCACCACTTGCCACCCACTCCCCACCTCCCATCACCCACTTTCCACTTCCCACCACCCAGTTCCCATCTCCAACCACCCACGTCCCACTTCCCTCCACCCACTTCCGACCTCCCACCACGAATTATTTTGCCTTGGTGTGCTTCCGCTCTTGACTGCCCCTCCTCTCCCCTCCTTACCTCCCCTCACGGGTTTTCTTCTCTCCTGTGTCTTCTCCTGGTCTCAATGTCAAATGCGCTCCTTCTTCCTCTCCCCTCCCCTCCCCTCCCCTCCCCTCCCCTCCCCTCCCCTCCCCTCCCCTCCCCTCCCCTCCCCTCCCCTCCCCTCCCCTCCCCTCCCCTCCGCTCCTCTACTCTCCTTTCTTCTCCCCCCACCAGGCTTGGAGTGCAGCGCACAGAAGGTGGTGCATCTGCGCCAGTTCCCCTTGATGCCCCAACATGCCTTCTCTCTCCCTCCTGTGCCTCCTCCTCCCCTCTTCTCCCTGTTCTCCCTCTTTTCCCAACTTCTCCCTCTTCTCCCCTCTTCTCCCTATTCCCCCCCCCCCCCCCCACCAGGCTTGGAGTACAGCGCACAGAAGGTGGTGGCACGTGCGCCACTCCTTCACCTCCTCCCCTTCACCCCCTGTCTTTCCTCCCTTTCTCTCCCCCCCCACCACCAGGCTTGGAGTACAGCGCACAGAAGGTGGTGCATCTGCGCCAATTCCTCAAGACAACCAACTCAGAGACACTAGTCTTTGTGGTGAGCTATATAAAACGCATGGTCTTGTAATCTCCTCCCTTACCCGCTTCCTCTTCCCTCCTCCACCCCCCCCAACCCACACTCCCCCCCAACCCACACTCCCCCCCAACCCACACTCCCCGCCTGCCACACTCCCCGCCTGCCCCTCCCCCCACACCCTTCCCCCCTTCCCACGACCTCCGTTCCCACTTTGAAACACTCGTCTAATCTGCTTCTTCGCTAGAATTTCTGTTATGACCAACATGTGCTTGTGCTTTTCTTGCCGACTAACTCATGCATTGTAGGGTATGTGCCGTGCTATGCCTATAGTATTCTTCTCCTTCCCCCCCCCCCCCGCCTTCGTCCTTCTTTGTGGTACTATCAGGTGGGGGCGATGGCTAGTGGTGACATCAGCAGTGACTACGTGGACGAGATGATTGCAGGTGAGTTGAGAGGGGTGGGGAGGGGTTGATTTGGGTCGACTGAAAACGCACAGAGATGGTGACATCAGGAATGGATATGTGAACGAGATGGTTGCTGGGGGGTTGAGGGAGGGGGGAACATGGAAGAAGAGAGAAGGGAGGGTGGCAGCTTGAGTGTGAGTGAGTTAGTGAGTTAGTGAGCGAGTGAGTTATTGAGTGAGTTGTTAGTGAGTGGTGCGGGCATGGAATGGTGACATCAGCATTGAGTGACTATGTGAACGAGATGATTGCATCTCTTGCACTACTTCTTCCCGTCTCTCTCCCTTCGTCGTCTGCTGCCCCGGTTCTGTTCTTCTCACCCTTTTGTGCGTGCGTGCATGCGTGCGTGTGTTTAATAAATGGTTTGTTTTCCTGCTTCTCCCTTGTTTCCTGCCTCTCCCTTCTTTCTCCACTTATGTCACTTCGTCCCATCAGTTTCGGAGTACCCACTGAGTGCAGCCACTTGCTTGTCCCGCCTGTGCACTACACTGGAACTAAAGTGGGGCATCTTATAGTTTGTACAATACAGATGTTTCCACTGTTTTTCCTTGTGTGCTCAATTAGATTGCATAATGTGGTGTATAGAGGTACCGGACATTACGCTAGCCGTGTCAGGTATAACCGTTACAACTGTTCACCACAGGAAATTTGGAGGTTGGTTTACTCATGCAGGTTTCCATGCAATGCAATGCAGCCCAGCTACTTGATCAACTAAAGTGGGAGAGAAGTGGTCAGTTCAAGTGCATTTCATCCCAACAAAGCAAAACAGTGTTCGCGTGTTTCATGCTCAATATAAATCGAGGCAGAGCTGATATCGGATCACTGTCCTTATCGATAGCGATTCAGGTACTGTACAGTGTTGCTGTTGGTGCGTTACTCCTCCCACAGTGCAACTGCAAGTCAAGTTGCAAGTGCACGTGATGGCGTCGAAGCGGCGAGGTGGATGGAAGTTTCGAGGAGTGATCCTCTCCAAATCTGACATCAGCATTGAAGCGCTCACGGTCAGTTGATAAACCTTTTCCTTCCAAATGCTTGCCAGTGTTTTTGAAAAGAACACCGTTTAGTACAGTAAAGCTCTGCCCAAGGCGTGACGATCGCCGCCGCCATTCAAAAACCGCAACGTCATCTTCCCTGCACGGGTGCCCTCATTGAGGATGGCCAATGTCCTCCTGGGCGGCTGACCAATGCTGCCTGAGGTTGAAACATTTGTCGTCTCTTTTCGTCCCGCCCGTCCCGTTCCTTCCCGCCCCTCCTCCTGCAACGTGAATTCCAATTCCAACCCCGCTCATCTTCTCCAGCCTCGTTTGGCATCAGGTAGGCGGAAGCTGTTGGGGGGAATGCGCGTCTCGCCAATACACCCTCATTCTCGAACATCTCACCGGCGGAAGCACTGGCTACAGTGTTTGGACGTAGCGGGCTGGTGAGATAACTTGGTTGCGGGCAAAGTCGCACGAGGCGAGGAAGCAGGACTTGGGCAAACAAAAAATCGTTAACGCTGAATATCCGTCTTAACCGTTTTGAAAAAAGCAATAACATTCCAGAACGTATAAAACCTTGACCCACCGCCTTGGGTCAAATTGTCACTATAACGCATGTGATAGGACCTTCTTTGGTCCGCTGCGGCTACACTAAGCGTCACGGTATGTATAACATATGCCAGTCTATCGAGAATGAGGGTGTATAAGACACTTTTGATAGTTACCTATAGTTACCTCGTAAATAAGCGAAATCTTGACGACGATATGCGACTGTAGGCGATGCATATTTCTCCAATCACCGGGAGTTCTTAAACAACGAGCCCTGACCGAACCTGATCGGGAATCACTTGTTACGGGACGCTCATGTGGAAATGCGCTAAAACGTTCCTTTTCTTTCCGCCCACCATTCCCCATTCCCCCATGTCTTCCCCCCGCAACGTCCACCCTTCGCGCCCTCACACCTGACTCAAGACTTGTGCTGGATACTGTAACTGGATACCCTCGCTTGAGAAGTCCAAAGTTTTCGGATTCCCTGCCCGACTCGTTCTCCTACATCCTCCAAGAATTATGTGATTGTCAGCTTCGCTAGTAAACGTCGACATAGTAAACGTCGACTTTCGCTAGCACGAGGAATGAGGGATTTCGCGTCATTGTTGACATGCGAAAAAAAAACCACCACATCTGCTTCCGGTCTTTCTTGCTGCTGCAGCGGCTGCACTCCCTGCATCCGTCCACCTTCCCATCGCCTTCCATTCCCTCTGTCCTCAGCATCCCCCGTCCTGCCGCCACCTGTGATGTGAGTGGCCCCTTCCCGCGGCTCACTCTCTCCATCCGATCGGCCGACCGGGCTGCAGGAGAGAGTCAGCTCTGCCTGCTCTGGAGTTCGACTGTGTGCTGTGCGTATTCCTCTCTCCTCCCACTGTTCATAGGGATGGAATCAGTTCTTTTCCTTCCAACACAGCAAAGTGCAAGTCAGAGCCGCTTCTCCCAGAAGCTCCCACCCAAACAATCGCGATTTGCGCGAGACACGGTCGGCCAACTGGCTCCAGACTGAAGCGCGACCGACGCTTGAAGTTTCTCACTCCGACACACGCAATCTTTCTCCGCAGGGTGTTGTTACCTACCGCGCCACGGATCACTGCGGGTCCCACCCTCGTTCCTCCATGATTTCCGTAATCTCTCACCGTCCCCTCAACTACCTCGCGGTCTTGCTTTAATCGCACGCAACATTTCGGAAAGTCGAAGGAGAGTACCCGCGACACGTGCCAATCGCGCCACGTGCTCCCGAAGCGCCCTGCCCAGCAGTAAAGCCGTCATTTTATCTACGCACGTTGAAAACCTCGAATTGCTGCCGTCTACGTCAACAGATCACAGTGCAGACCAACTATTTACAATATCACTAAGACTGAATTTTACGCACCGCGCAGTAATTCCAAGAGACGAAGAGACGAAAAGAAGAAGAAAAAAGCTGCAGAATAGCGTCTATTTCTCCCACCCGTCGCGACGGCGCGAAGCCTGCCGCCAACCTGGCGACTCTAACTCTCCCCATGGTGCCAGAAGGACTGAGGATGTTTCCGCGGCCACCTGACTGGGAGCAACAGCCGCAGCCCGACTCGCCGCAACCCCCGCCACTACTGTCACCCGTCGCGACGCCTCTTTCCGTGGCGATTGAGGCGACGCCTGCGATGGCGACAGACGACGGCGATGACGATGACGACAGCATGTTACCACCCGGGTTTCGCTTCCACCCGACGGACGAAGAGCTTCTGTGTTACTACCTTCGGCGGCGCGTGGACAACCGTCGCATAAGCTTCAATGTGATGGGCGACATCGACTTGTACAAGTTCGAACCATGGGATCTCCCCTCGCGCGCTTCGAGTCCTCTAATGGGAAACGACGAGTGGTTCTTCTTCACGCCGCGCGACCGGAAATACCCATCCGGACTCCGGTCAAATCGCGCCACGCCTGCCGGTTATTGGAAGGCGACTGGGAAAGACCGGCCCGTATTCGCCGCAAATCGCGGAGGAGGAGGAGGGGCGGGCTCGAGCAGTGGCGGTGGAGGTGGAGGTTCGGCCGCGACGACGGTTATTGGCTTCAAAAAGACGCTCGTTTTCTATCGGTAAGGACGCTCCCGTCTCATCGTGTCACGGGTTCGACGATGATTGATTTGAAACCCCTCTTCGTTCCATCCAAGCCCAAATTGGACCCGGTTCGATGCTTGGATCGCCGGTACGTTTGGCGCTCATTTTGTTAAAATTCTGGAGATTGGTTTCTGTTGAACCCATTTTCCCCTCCCCGTCACAACTTGATTAGGGTTTCGTGGAGAGACGCGAAGTTTAGCTGATTGTAGCGTCGCATGTCGTTCGAGAGTTGTTTTCCACTCGCAATGATGCTTGCGTTCATTATGTGACTAACGTAAAATTTATCAGTCGCTCTTTTCCTGTCGTTCCGCTCCGTCCCCCACTTTCCCCTCCCCCCCGGTTTTTCCAACTTCCTTCACAGCGGGCGTGCGCCAGCCGGCGAGAAGACGGACTGGGTGATGCAGGAGTACCGTCTACCCGACAGCTCCGACGACATCGCCAGCCTAATGCTGCCGGCCGGCAGTTCCGCCGGCAGCGCTGACGTCACCATCGCCGCGCCGCCGTCCCCGTCCGCGGCGGGCTGGCAGAGCGCAAGCGGCCCCTCGGGAATGACGTTGTCGCAGTGGGTGGTCGTGCGCGTGTACACGCGCGGAGCGCTTCCGCAGCAGGTGCAACCTGGGCAGCGCGGCGGAAGCAGCGGGGGGCACCTAACAGCTCCTCGGGGATTGGGTCACGCGCTCCAAGCGCATGCGGAGAAAGCGGCGGGAAAAGGGGAAAAAGTGGGAAAAGCGGAGCCAGAGGAGGAGTCAGAGCAGCAGCGGATGATTTTGGACTCTGGTGGCAGCGGCGGAAGCGGAAGCTTCCCGTTCAGCGCTGGCGTGAGTAGGGAGACGGCGGGAGCGGGGTCCGTTCCGCAGTCTCCGCTCGTGTCCCCGCGTTTACATCTTCCGCAGGTTCACTTTCCAAACACGAGCACGACCTCTGCTGTTGCCGCAGGAGCTTCCGCCTCTACATCCGCTGCTGCTTCCGCCGTTGCCTCCGCCACTTCTGGTGCAGGCGGAAGCGGAATCACCCCAGTCGGATCCCTCGGGCCTGCTCCTGGTTCAGCTCTCAACAGCCTTCGGAAACTTTTTTCTGCCCGGTCTTCGCTATCCGCGCCCCTGCCCGTGCTTCAGAGCACAGCTGTGCAAGCTTTCAAAAAAGGGCCTCGCACAATCGACCGGGCAGTTACTGTAGCTATTGGAGATTCATCCAACCAATCAGATAGCGCTGCAGGTTCGAAAGGCATTTCTGGTCTCACGAATCAAATCGGAGGAGGTTCGGGACCTACAGGTTCGGAAGCTTTTGCGAATCCGCTGAATTCGAGACTGTTGAGCCTGACTCGGTTCAACTCGCCGGCAATCCCAAGGGGCAATTCGTGCCCATCTGACATGACTACAGGCCTGGGTTCGAATCCTGACGGACGCATTTCAACACTGGCAAGAGCGCAAAGCTTGGCACAATCCGCTGTGATGGAGGACGCAGGCGAAGGGGGAGAGGAGAGCCAAGGGCAGTTTGCGGGGGCCCAGCGCAGCACAGAGGCGCAGCCGGCAAGCGGGCAGAAAAACGGGCACGAAAGCGGGCAGGAAAACGGGCGGGGAGGTGGAGGAAATGGTTCCGGCGAAGCATTTTCGAAGCTTCTTGCCGAGTACGTGGGGGGGCAGAGAGACAATGACGGGCCTGCGAGTATTCTCTCTTGGCCGACGGACCCAGCAGCCACAACAAGTGTGTTCCCGGCAAGCCAGGAAGAGCAGATGCAGCAGAGCGAGGAGGCACAAGGGACAGGGCGGTGTGAGGGGACTCAGGAGGCTCAAGAGACGCATGGAAAAGAGAGTTTAGATGCTCAGGCTGCCACTGGGGAAGCATCCGAGAAACAGCACAACCGGGTCCCGCAACAAGAGGCCCAGACGAGACCCACGCTACGTCGCCTGCAGCGGTCAAATGCTGCCGAGATTGAGCCTCTGGAGGACCTTATTGCTCCACAGAACCCTTCGAGCCAGCGCCTGCAGCAGCCTCATCAACCGCATCAACAGATCCAGCCGCAGCGCTCAAACGCTGCCGAGATTGAGCCTCTGGGGGACCTCATTGCCCCACAGAGCCCTTCAAGCCAGCGCCAGCAGCAGCCCCTACCCGACCCTTTCCTGGCGGTGCCAACCCCGTCCTCCACACTGACCACTCCTGGCATGCCTCGGGAATTCCTTAACCTTGAAACGCTGATGACGCCGATGGATTTGACTGCTACTGGCTGGTGGGCTGCTGCTGACACTGTTACTGCTGCTGCTGCTGCTGCTGCTCCTGCTGGTGGTGCTGCTGCAGCCTCTGCTGGCACTGCTGCCGGTGCTTCTGCTGCTGGTGAAGTCACAGCTGCTGCTGGTAATGCTGGGACTGGGGGCGCTGGTGCATCTGCTGCTGGTAACCTCTCAGTTTTTTCCACCATAGGCCCTGCTGTTGGGGTTGGGAACTTGGGCACTGGTAACTCTGGAGTTGGTAACTTTGGGGTGGGTAATATTGGGGGCTACAGCGGTTTTGCAGCGTTTGGCAGTGCCAGCGGGCACTTGTCTTTTTTCGACAGCCCGTTCAGGTTCGGCACTCCTGCTCCCACAGGGGCTGATTGTGGGGCGGCGAACCCCTGGACGGCAGCCGTTGTGGCAGCTGCTGCTGCTGGTGGTGACACTGCTGCTACTGGTGCCAGTGCTGGTGCTGCTGCTGGCGCAGCTTCTGGCCCTGCTTCGCAGGCTGATTCAAGAGCCCGGTTTCGGGAGAGCGAGAGTGGTGCACAGGGCAACGGCAGTGAGAGTGGCAGTGAGCTAAGCTCCCCACACACTGCCACCACTCACACTCTCAACACTGTCTCTGCAAGCGACGGTGACTTCACAGGGGAAGTGGCTGGCCCTGCTGCTGCAGAGGCAGACCGTGGAGATGCAGTGGCGTTCCGTTTTGCTGCTGGCGTTGGTGCTGCCGGGGCAGACCTTGCAGCACCTCAGCTCCCACTGCGGCAGAGCCTGCTACAGCAACAGCAGCAACAGAGGCAGCAGCAGCAGCAACATCAACAGGGGCAGCAGCAGCAGCATCTGACCACTTCATCCGCATCAGCGATAGGCTCGGACCATTTTTCAGTGCTCTCTTCCCCTCCTTTGCCTCCCGAGATGATGACCGAGCTTACCGACCTGCTGCTACGCTCGGCAGTTGCCCAGCCTGGTGACTCAGGCTCGGCGCAGCCAGGGTCGGAAGTGCCAGGCTCGGCGCAGGCATCCGTCGGTGCGTCCGGCACTGCGGGTGGCAATGGAGGCATTGGGAAGGATGGGGTATTAACTGATGTTGGCCCAGGTCAGGCTCAGAGCAGTAGGCAGTTCCAGCAACCGTCATGGGCTTTCCAGGCACAGCAGCAGCAGCTGCAACGCCAGCTGAAGCAGCAGGAGCAAGGGCAGGAGAAGAATGGAGGACAGGCAGAGAGACGGGTCCGGTCCCCGAAGCGGAGTCGAGGGGAGGGGGAGTTTGAGGGACTGATGGGGATGGAAGCTGGCGGAGCAGCAGATGGGGGTGCAATGGAGGCAAGCCACCTGTCAATGGAAGGTATGGTGGTTCGGCCCTTATCCAAGCGAAGGAGCTTTGTTGCCGAGGAGATTGAGGATGGTTCGGGTGGCTTGGGTGCGGTGAAGGAGATAGGAGTGGGAGAGGAGGGAGGTGTGGGGGAGAGCTCGCAGCCTGATATTCTCAACATGCTGAAGCAGATCTTGGGGTGAAGGATACTTGTGTGCGCTTTTTTGTGGCTGAATACCTGACACAGCTTTCCTGCATTTTCATCTTGTGCATATTCTGATGTTTCCTTTGTGTTCACCTTCTTTCTTAAGGCCGTTGTAATGCCATATTTATTGTATTACTATTGAGCTCAACTTCATAGGTGGACTGGCCCTCTGGCTGGCTTGGTGATTCGTCGATTTCTATGGCAGTTTTTGTGAGGTCGAGGAATAATTTGTTCTTGTAATGGGAGGTTCGGATCCAACGAACCTCAACAAGTGAAACCCGTAATTCCTGGCATTCGAGAAAGTCAGCCACCGATTTTGTCGCGTCGCTATTGCGCGCATGTCGTCGTTGCGAGATGGCTCGCCTCGCCCCCACTAGGTCTCGCTGGCCATGTTGTGAATTAAACAAAATACTTACTTGAGCTTCGCTTTTAACAACCTTCGAGATGAAGGCAAAGCTGACGGACCCCACTCATTGCTGGTTCTGGTTCTTCATGATTGAATGTCCCACAAGACCAGCGAGCTAGCTTTTCGTTACGTAAGTGGAAGCGCAGGTACACTAGTGCGCACCGCCTTCCAAACCTTCCCTTCCCTTCCACCTCGAATTTCTCGTGCTTTCTCGCCCACAACTGGAACCCATACCTCATCCTCACCTAACCACATTTCCCTCATCTCTTCTCCAGGGCCTACATTTTAGTGGCGCAGGATGATTCTACTAATATTGTCATTGTCACCTACAGAAGCCCTTTCGATGCTGCGTTGAGCTCTCCTTGGTCTTGTTTTGTTAGCTCCTGTCATCCTGCTTGTTTCCGCGTCGCTTTTTCGGCTGCGATTTTTCTTTCTGCCATGCCAGACCCACATCGCGCGTCAATACTCACAACTGTGCCATCCGCTAGTACAGCATCCGACGCGACAGCCGCCACAGCCACACCGACGGTTACGACAGCCGAGCCGGCTCATCTTTTGGCTCGGATCAGTTCGCAAGATGAATCCTCGTTACTGTCTGCTCCGATACTAAGTAGTTCCGAAGCTACGGTAACGAGTATCGAGACTGTTAGAGACCGCTCGTCTGCTGATGTTCACTTAGCTCCTAGTAGCGACACACTAGTAGAATCTTGTGTCTTCGAGCCTGAGGCTCGGCAAAGCGGACAATCCAGCGAACCCCCCGCGGAGGACTTTCAGGGGTTCCGAGCCTCCCGGCTCGGTAGTACAGACAGGCTCGGCGCGGATAGTAGTAAGTTCGGCGACGCCGCGCTGTCAGAGTCCCTGTTGGAGGAAGGTCGGCTCGGACACAGCTGCAGTTCCGACCGGCTCTTAGCTGACGGCCGGCTTTTAGTTGAGTGCCGGTTTTGCCGCGAAGAAGAGTACTTATCCCCGGAAGATCTCGGGCTTAGAATCAACACCGGCGGGGAGGGGGCGGGGGCGGGGGCGAGGGCGGAGGCGGGGGCAAGAGGCGGGCGGGGAGCGCCGGGGAACCTTGACGAATTTCCGCAGGGAGAGGCGGCGGCGGCGGAGAGGGGCGAGAAGGCGCGACGGGCGGAGGCACGGGGGGCGCGGATGGTGAAGCCGTGCGCGTGCGGGGGCACGATGGGGCGCGTGCATCTGCGGTGCCTGCAGCAGTGGATCGAGCGGCGGCGAATGGACGGCTGCGATCACGACGCGCTCACGTGCGAAGTGTGCCGCTCGCCGTACCGCCTTCGAATTCACGAGAGTGAGTCGCGCGTCAGAACCCCTTTCCCTCATCTTCCCCATCCTTCCCCCATTCTTCCCTGGTCTTCTCCTCCTCTCCGACGTCCCCCCCATCCGCCCGCGCCCCCGCCCACTCCCCATCCGCCCCGCCCCCCTCCTCCCCTCTCCCGTTCCCCCTCCCCCCCTCCTCTTCCTCCTCCCCCGACCTCCACTTACCATTTTTTCCACATTTCCCCGTCTACTACTAATTTCCCCCTCATTAAACCACGTCCCGCCTGTCAATCTTTAATCTCCCACCACCCTCGCTTTTCCCCATTCCCCGTCGTCTATCCCCTGTTCCCCCGGTATATCCTACCCGTTCCCCCTGTTTATCCCCATTTCTCCTGTTAATCCCCCGCCACCCCCTGTGTTCTCCGCAGGGCCGGGCCTACCTGGAAGCGCCTGTTCTTCCTCCCTTATCTCTATCCGCTCCCTTGGCCCATTTCTCCTGTTTATCCCTCCCACCTCTCTGCTCTCCCCTCCCCCGCCCATCCCTTCCCCCCCGCCCACCCCCGTCCTGTGTTTCTCCTCAGGGCTTGACATATCACATGGGGGAGCGCTTGTGCTCGCACGTGTCAATCTCGTTCCACGCTCAGTCCTGCACCCTCTGCACTGCGCCACCCTCGCCTATCTTACTCACTGCCCTACCCTGACCCATTCCCGCCCAATCGCCCCCTTTATTCCTCCTGCTCTTCCCTTCATTCTCAGAGCTGGATCTCACATGGGAGCGCCTGTGCTCATAAGCGTCCGTCTCATCCTTTGCCGAGTTCTGCACCATCTGCTCTGCGCCAAAACTCCCCTCCGTGTTCCCCCCCTGTGTCTGCCCCCCATTCTCAGGGCTCGACCTCACATGGGAGCGCCTGTGCTCGTACGCATCAATCTCCTTCTACGCTGAGTTCTGCACCATCTGCGCCACCCTCACCACTCCTTCCTCCATTGCCCCTCCCTTCACGTCTCCCCCGCCCTCCCTCTGTGTTCTTTAGGGCTGGATCTCACGTGGGAGCGCCTGTGCTCGTATGCATCAATCTCCCTTTATGCCGAGCTCTGCACCATCTGCGCCCCTATCCCACTCCCCTTGCCCGTTCCCACTCCCTCCCTTGCCCCATTTTCCCCGCTTCTCCCCTCCCCGCTTCCCTCAGGGCTGGATCTTACGTGGGAGCGCCTGTGTTCGTACGCATCTATTTCTTTCTACGCTGAATTCTGCACCATCTGCGCCACCCTCGCCTCCATGGTCTTCCTCTTCTTCCTCATCGTCATCGGCGACAGTGATGAGGTGTGTAGAGCGGTGGAGCGAGGTGGAGGGGGGTGGAGGGGGGTGGAGAGGGGTGTAGAGCGGTGGAGAGGGGTGAAGGGGCGGTATACATGGTCTTCGGTCATCACCATCTGCGTCATTGGCGACAGGGACGAGGCGAGTGGAGCGGTGGAGAAGGGTGGGTTATGGAATTGGTATGGTTGGGAGTGTGGATTGGGTATAATTGATAGAGTGCGAGGCGTATGTACAGTATCCTCAAAGCCTGAGAGTTCTCAGAGGTTTGTAGGGGCCGAGAATTCTGGGAATGAATGAGTAGGGGCTGGCAAAGGCAGGGAAAGAGTAAGCCACACACACACGACCTCTCATTTGTGTGTGTGTGTGTGTGTGTGTGTGTGTGTGTGTGTGTGTCTGTGTGTGTGTGTGTGTGTGTGTGCGTGCGTGTGTGTGTGTTCACTCACAGGAGGGTAGGGAGTTGAGTCTATTCGCTGCAGTGGTGGTGGCAGCATGTGTAATCACCCTCGGGATTCTCACTCTTTTCAAGGTAACCAGGTTACCAGGCACCAATGCCACTTCCACTGTTACTTTAACGCAATTGTAACAAACTCACAGCATGTGTAATTGCCTTGGAATTCTCACTCGTCTCAAGGCAACCCGGTTACCACTCCTCTCGGGCATTTCCTCACTCCACTCTCCAATCCCCATCCCCTCCCTCTGCAATCCTCTCTCCCTCCTGCCCTCCTCTTGCCCATCCCACTCACTTTCTCTCACTCTCCTGTCCTGTCAAGCTGCTCATTTGACCTCCCTCACATTTTTTTTGAGAATTCTAAAAAAAAACATACGCTTGACCTTCCCTCATATCCTCACTCTACCGTCCAATCCCCATCTCGTCCTTCTCTCTTTCTTTCTCCCCATCCTCATTCAGGTCACCTCCAGGCCATCTTAGTGCCGCTGCTGTCTTTCTTGTCCACCTGCATTAACTCACTCCACCTTACAACCCCCTCCCCCCTATATCCCCTCTTCCCCCACTCCCCCCTATATCTTCTCTTCCCCCACTTCCCCCTCTCCCCCCTCTTCCCCTTCTTCCCCCGCATGTTTCCTCCAGGTCACCTCCAGGTGGCGCCAGGCCATCTCAGTGCCGCTGCTCTCTTTCTTGTCCACCTGCGTTTACTCACTCTTCCCTCCAACCCCTTTCCCCCTATATCCCCTCGCCCCCCTCGTGTGCCCCACAGGTCACCTCCAGGTGGCGCCAGGCCATCTCAGTGCCGCTGGTGTCTCTCTTTTCCACCTGTTCTCCCTTTCCCTCCACTCACTGCTGCTCCTTCTCTCCTCCGTCTCACTCCCTTCCCCCCTCTCATCCCCACAGGTCACCTCCAGGTGGCGTCAGGCCATCTCAGTGCCGCTGCTCTCGCCCAGGGGCCCTCTTTCCCCGCCCATGCCCTCCTCGCCCCGACTCTCGCTGTAACGGGGCAACCTATGGGAACATAAAGGCCATCTCCATTGCCTGTGTTGCCTCTCCACCAATTTCCGCACCTCTCTTATCACCTTAACCCATGCCCTCCTCGCCCCGGCTCTCGCTGTAACGGGGCAACCTATGGGAATATGAAGGCCATCTCCATTGCCGCTGCTGCCTGTCCTCCTACCGGTGCTGCCTCCTCCTCCTACTAGTGCTGCCTCTTCCCCACCAATTTCCGCGCCTCTCGCCTCATAGTAACCCATCCATGCTCGCCCCGCCTCTCAACGCCTCATAGTAACCCATCCGATTTTCTCTGCTCTCCTCTCCTCTTCACTCGTCTACCCACTTCCCTTCTTTCCTCTTCTCTCCTCCCCTCACCTCTTCTCTCTCCTCTCGCATATCTTCTACACTCAGCCCCTCTTCTCTCCTCCCCTTTCCTCTTGCAACACACAAGGCTTTTAGTGTGTCTCTCATAAGCGCTGAAGATGCCGCGCAAGTTACCACTTTCTAAGATTTTTATCGCTCTGTGATGTCCACATCCAAACCGTGAGTTCTAAGCTCAAGAAATCTTTGCAAGTCACAAATGTGCAGAATTTACAGCGCGTACAACATTGTCGTCGTGAATGATATCTCACCCACCAAGCGAGACGCGGTCGTGAGAACTGTACAGTGGCCCCAACACTGGCCAATAGCAGCATCACCAAACCGAGCAACGGCAGCCCCACCCCACCACCTCTTCGGGATGACCGCAGAGCCAACGGCCTTCACTGCAGAATGCAGGGAGCAGCATTCGGTCGGTGCATGTACATGTACAGTACATTTCTGTCAAATCAAACTGCCTCACCACCACCAATGACGAAACGTCCAGCAGAACTTTGCTGCCCGAAATGTGGTAGAGTCATACACCTGATAACTGTTACGCTCTGTTCAGATTTTGAAGTAAGATTGGACTGGGCCAAACATAGGAGAAAGAGCTGACGGGCACTGCTTTATTGTGTATCGGAAATTCGACTAACGTTTTTGTGGAATCCGTGAAATCTATGACTTCCTATCTAGTTGCCAAACATTGCCATCTGGCACTTGGAGGGGTCGCTCCACATCTGCGACAGCGGCTGGCACTGGCAGGTCAGACAGAACACCAAGCATGCATTTCCAGTATCATTGATCATTTGAAATAGTCAGCGTGTGATAGCGACTTAAAATGTGCACTCCTTAACTAGAGATAAGGTGTACCTCAAGCTAAGTCAGTAACTAGAATGAGCACTTTCGTGATTCCCGAGCCGCTGAATCAAGACTAGGGAACTGATGTCAAAACGTCTGAGAGTAATCAGACGATGAACGAGGCGGACGGCAAATGAAGCCCTCCGCGCATTTGTCCTGGATCTGTCCTCCGAGGCGTTCTCAAGGCTCAACCCTATCCGCGATGATCGTTTTAGGCAGAATTGTGACCTATCCAATCTCAAGTTGTCTTCGAACCTTCGAATCATCACGCTACTCACCTTTTTGGAGGCGAGCAAAAAAGTTAGTCCGCAGTGGTACCACTGCTACCGTAAGGGAAGTCCGCGTGCAACGGACAGCGCGTATGTAACACCTCGCTACTACCCACGGGGTCAAAACGAGGGTTATATTTGAGGCGCAGCGGATGCACTCATACCCTTACGGTGTAAACCCGACAGGCGTTACAGCGGAAACTGATATTAGGCCCCTATCATGATGATTGTCGAGAATAGTAGTTTTCCGCCAGGATTTCGGTTCCGACCGACGGACGAGGAGCTGCTGTGTTACTACCTCAGGCGGCGCGTGGAGGGCCTTCCCATCGCATGGAATGCGATTGGCGACGTGGACCTGTACAAGTCCGAGCCTTGGGAACTGCCAGGTCAGAGCATTGGGAACTGCCAGGTCAGAGCCTTGGGAACTGCCAGGTCAGAGCCTTGGGAACTGCCAGGTCAGAGCCTTGGGAACTGCCAGGTCAGAGCGTTGGGAACTGCCAGGTCAGAGCCTTGGGAACTGCCAGGTCAGAGCCTTGGGAACTGCCAGGTCAGAGCCTTGGGAACTGCCAGGTCAGAGCCTTGGGAACTGCCAGGTCAGAGCCTTGGGAACTGCCAGGTCAGTTCCCGGGGAACTGCCAGGTCAGAGCCTTGGGAACTGCCAGGTCAGAGCCTTGGGAACTGCCAGGTCAGAGCCTTGGGAACTGCCAGGTACTGTCTCGAGGCGTCATTAGATGATGAAAGTGGCGTGTCCAAAGCGTGTCCACAGCGTGTCCGAGCCTTGGGAACTGCCAGGTAGTGCCTCAAACATCATTTCACTTCCGCAGCGTTTCCCACAACCCCAGGGTCGGACCCCCTCCCACTCTCCGAGAGTCGTTGAGTCATGCTGCACCGCACCTGCTATTCCGAACCAACTCCGTAGTTCTTTTCAGGTGCTCGTTGCACCAAGCGTTTTTCAAAGCTGACTCGCCGCAAAGCGAGGGAAAACAGCGTGGGCCAGGAGGGAGGGAGGGGGGGAGGGAGGGGGGAGGGAGGGGGGGAGAGATGGACGGAGGGAGGGACGGAGGGAGGGACGGAGGGAGGGACGGAGGGAGGGACGGAGGGAGGGACGGAGGGACGGAGGGGCGGAGGGGCGGAGGGGCGGAGGGAGGGAGGGAGGGAGGGAGGGAGAGAGGGAGAGAGGGAGAGAGACAGGGAGGGGGTGGCAGGCAGGCAGGCAGGCGGGCAGGCAGGCACGCACATTTTACACCCTACCACCCCTCCCCTCCCCTCCCCTCCCCCACTTCCTCCTTCACCCCCCCGGCTTCACCCCCCAACCCCCCCTTCACCCCCCCACCCCCCCTTCAACCCCCCACCCCCCTTTCCCCCACTCCCAGCCAGAGCAACGTGCCCTATTGCTGGGGTCGTCGAGTGGTTCTTCTTCGCAGCCCGCGACCTGACTTTCCCCCCTTCGCCTCTCATCCCTCCTCCTACCCTACTCCCAGCCAGAGCAACATGCCCTATCGCTGGCGACGTCGAGTGGTTCTTCTTTGCAGCCCGCGACCTCAAGTACCCATCAGGGTCAAGGTGCAATCGAGCCACAGCTGCTGGGTACTGGAAGGCCACTGGGAAGGACAGGCCAGTGTGTATGCAAGTATCAGGGTGCAACAGTGGTAGTGGTGGCAAAGGGGAGCAGACAGTCAGGCTGGGATTCAAGAAGACGCATGTCTTCTACACGTAAGTTCAGTGCTTGCTTCTCCCCCCTCTCCTCTCCCTTCCCTCCCCCACTCCTCTCCTCTCCCCCCCTCTCCCCTCTCCTCTCCTCTCCCTCTCCCCCACCCCCTACCCTCTCCTCCTTCCCCCCCTTTCCCCGGTCTCAAACACGATGTTGGCTTGGGGTGGGACGTCGGTTTGTTCGAAGATTTCGAAATGCTTGTTCTGGTATTTGGATTGTGTCTCTGCATCGTTGTATCTCTGATTGTGTGTGTGTGTGTGTGGGGGGGGGGGGGGGGGTGTGGGTGTGTGCGTGTGCGTGTGCGTGTGCGTGTGTGTGTGTGCGTGTGTGCGTGTGTGTGTGTGTGCGTGTGCGTGTGCGTGTGTGTGTGTGTCTGTGTGTGTGTGTGTGTGTGTGTGTGTGGGTGTGTGTGTGTGTGTGTGTGTGTGTGTGTGTGAGTGTGTGTTTGGGGGGGAAGGATCGCGTGTGCGTGCGTGCGTGTGCGTGTGTGTGTGTGCGTGTGTGCGTGTGTGTGTGTGCGTGTGTGTGTGCGTGTGTGTGTGTGTCTGTGTGTGTGTGTGTGTGTGTGGGTGTGTGTGTGTGTGTGTGTGTGTGTGTGTGTGTGAGTGTGTGTTTGGGGGGGAAGGATCGCGTGTGCGTGCGTGCGTGCGTGCGTGTGTGTGTGCAAATGTGAGAACAGGGGCCGAGCGCCAGGAGGGGACAAGACCGACTGGGTCATGCACGAATACCAGCTTTCAGAGGATTCACCTGTAGCTAGTCCTGCTGCTACAGACATGACACCTGCTGCAGCTGCATCAGCCGGATCAGACCCAGCAGCAGCAGCAGACCCAGCAGCAGCAGCAGACCCAGCAGCAGCAGCAGCAGCAGCAGCAGCAGCGGCAGCAGCAGCAGCAGCAGCTGCACACGCACCTGCTATGCGTGAAGGCATCGAAGATGGTGTGGATGCAGCAGGTGGTGCTGTCAATGACAGGAACAACAGCAGGAAATATGAAGCGACCAACCCAGACACCAGAGGTTCGGGCGGAGTAGCTGGTGGGTTGGCCGGCAGAAGCAGCAGCCATGAAGCCAGCATTCCAGAGCTTCAAGCTGGCATCGGTCAGAGGATCGACGCAGCGTCGTGGGTGGTTGTGCGGGTGGTCAAGAGAAGCTCCCTCACAGCTGAGGAGCAAGCGATGGCAGCACGTCAGCGGGTGACAGCAGAGCAGCAGGGACGGCTGCCTGTACAGGGAGTGAATTCGTGGCCCTTGGTGCTGCAGCGAGGGAGCGGAGCAGAGCAGCAACTGGGTGACGCCGGGGAAACGTGGGAGGCGCCTCAAAAAGCAGCACAGCAGCAGGGAGGGCTGCCTGTACAGGGTGTGAATCCGTGGCCGTTGGTGCAGCAGCAAGCGAGAGGAGCAGAGCAGCAACCAGGTGACGCCGGGGAAACGTGGGAGGCGCCTCAAAAAGCAGCACAGCAGCAGGGAGGGCTGCCTGTACAGGGTGTGAATTCGTGGCCCTTGGTGCAGCAGCAAGGTAGAGGAGCACAGCAGCAACTGGGTGATGCTGGGGGGGGTAGGAGAACAGGTCTGGCTGATAATGACGGTGGTGCTGGGACGGTTGGGCTGCCTGTAGAGGGTGTGAATCCGTGGCCCTTGGTGCATCAGCGAGGGAGCAGAGCAGAGCAGCAACCGCATAATGCTGGGGGGGATATGAGAACAGGCTTGGCTGGTAATGAAGGTGGGGCTGGGAGCACAGGTGGTGCTAGCGGCTCAGGTGGTGGTAGTGGCTCAGGTGGTGGTAGCGGCTCAGGTGGTATTATGGGTGGTGGTAGCGGCCTAGGTGGTGCTTACGATTCAGGTGGTGCTAGCATTTCAGGTGGTGCTACGGGCTCAGGTGGTGCTAGTGATTCAGGTGGTGCTATCAATTCAGGTGGTTCTAGCGGCTCAGGTGGTGCATTGCAGCACGAGTTACTGCAAGCTCTCCACCACCAGACTACGCCATCCCCCAAGCAGCATCTGCTCGGAACGAAGCGACAGAGAAGCAGCGATGGCGGTGCTAGCGATTCACTTGGTGCGAGCGGCTCAGGTGGTGCTAGCGGTTTGGGTGGTGCATTGCAGCACGAGTCACTGCAAGCTCTCCACCACCAGACTACGCCATCCCCCAAGCAGCCTCTGTTCGGTACGAAGCGACAGAGAAGCAGTGACAGTGGTGGGGTGGAAGGTGGGGAAAACAGGGAGCAGGTGGAAAGGAAGGAGGAGGAAGGCCGGGAGGGGAATGACTGGGCGGGCAGGAGGAGCAAGCTGGGAGGGCTTGTGGTGGGTACCAGCGATGCTCGCATTGAGGTTGAACCAAAGGAGGAGCCGGTTGAGGTATGGCCGATTATGGAAGGGGGGTCAATAATGCGTGCGGGGGAGGAGCACCCACCTGGTAGTAGTGCTGGCTCAGCAGAGTTAGGCAACAGAGCAGCAGGTGAAGAGATCCCCCGGAAGGATATCTACAAGGATATGCAGCACCTGGCCGATCTTCTTAAGGTGACTTTTGAGTCGACTCAAAAGTCACCTGGTTGTGCTGCTGGCCCAGCTGAGTTAGGCAGCGGAGCAGCAGGCGAAGGGACCTGCCAGAAGGATATGCAGGCCCTGGCCGATCTTCTCAGGTCTCTCTTCAAAAATCAGGTCGTGACCACTGCAGATGCTGCTAGAAGAGCTTGTCCCACTGCCGCTCCTGCCTCTGCAATCGCATCTGCAGCTGAAGCACCCCTATATTCGGTTGTAGCGCCCCCATATATGGCGATATCACCCTCGACCAGAGAGGTGCATGTTGAGGCGCCTCAAAATACGCCTTATCCTGCTGAAGCAACCCCATATGCAGCTGAAGTAGCCCTGTATCCAGTTGTAGCACCCCCATATGTGGCGGTATCACCCTCGACATCAGCCCAGCAGGGGAAAAGGCACAAGGCGCAGCACGCAGTGATATTTGAGTACCAGGACCAGCAACGGCAGCAGCAGGGGCAGCTGCAGCCGCAGGAACAGCAGCAGCGGCAGCAGCAGCGGCAGCAGCAGCGGCAGCAGCAGCGGCAGCAGCAGCGGCAGCAGCAGCAGCAGCAGCAGCAGCAGCAGCAGCAACTGCAGCGGCATCTGCAGTACCATCAGCAACAGCAGAAGCAGCACGGCCAAAATCATGAGCATCATATGCTTCAGCAGCATATGCTTCATCTACATATGCCTCAACAGCACATGCCTCAACAGCACATGCCTCAGCAGCACATGCCTCAGCAGCAGGGACTCAGTCCCGATCCCCCCTGGCTTAGAAGCGTTTCTGAACTCCACTTGTGGAGCAGGGAAGTGACTCATGAGTCGACTCAAAAGTCACTGCAGCAGGGACTCAGTCCCGATCCTCCACGGCAGAGAAGCGTTTCCCGCCCTGCTGCCTCTCTACCACTTGAGACTCCCAATGTAGCAGCCAGAGCCAACCGGCTTGAAACACCCGTTTGCTCCTCTCACAGTGTAGAGCATGACCACCAACAGTCAGTGCACGGGGTTTTTGAGGCGCCTCAAAAATCCTCGCACAGTGGAGAGTCTGACCACCGCCTGTCGTCGGTGCACGGGGCATGGGAGGAACAGGGAGAGAATGGAAGACTGTACGTTAGAAGTCGAAGGGATTTTCTGCTGCGTGACAGTGTGGGAGAGCGGAAGGCCAGAGGTCGCTTCAGGAGGGCTGGAAGGGAAAGGGAAAGGAGGAGGGGGCGAACCAGCAGGGGAGAAACTGATCGGTGCACGGGTGGCGGCAGCACGTGTGGGAGTTACTTTTGAGGCGCCTCAAAAGCCAGCAGGGACAGAACCGACTTTTGAGGCGCCTCAAAAGCCAGCAGGGACAGAACCGACTTTTGAGGCGCCTCAAAAGCCAGCAGGGGCGGAACCGATCGGTGCACGGGTGGCGGCAGCACGTGTGGGAGTTGCAGCAGAAGGGGTAGCAGCGACAGCAAGAGGAAGAATAGCGGACTTGGTAGCATCGGTAGATGGGTTGGAGCTAGCGCATCTAGTGGCGCTTCTACTGAATGTGGAGGGGAAAATGGGCGTCAACAGCGGCATGGTTAGCGGGTTGAATCGGAATCTCATTGGGAATAGGATCGGCTCCATTCAGCCCGTAAGCAGTGGCATGCACATCAGCCAACCACCTGTGGGACTGGCACCATCCTTGGCACTTGCATCAGGAGAGACACCTGCACCATCCGTGACACTTGCACAAGGAATGGCAGTTCCACCATCCTTGGCACTTGCACTACGAGTGGCACCAGCACCATCCGTGGCACCTGCACCAGCTGTGGCGCTGAAGTTTTCCCCAATCACATGTATGCATGGCATGCCTGAACGCTCGTTTGCATCAGGGGAGAGGGTTTCTGTGGCAATGACCGCAGGTCACACTGCCAGTAGTACTGGCGGCAGGGATGGCACGTGGTCTAAAGGCCAAGGCACCCTGTTACTGCCAGAGTCATTCTTCCCATCATTAGCAAGAGTGCCACTGGGTCAGACACGGGAAGACGAAGCAGCCGAAGCAGGAGACAAATCAGCTGCAGCAGCAGAAGCAGGAGACAAATCAGTTGCCGCTGGCAGGATTGTTCATGTACCATGGGTATCACAAATGGGGAAGCAGGGATTGAGCAGCAGCCAGGGCACTGGAAGAATGCTCTCTCTCAAAAGGAGTCGTGAAGAGGACTGCTGATGCTCGTTGAGAATAAGTTTTTCATGAGCTTTTGACTCTCAGGGTGCTGTTAGTGTAGAAATGACATCTTTAGCTTAGCGGAAACAGCTAGAGTTGACATTTGAAGTCGTCAGGCTGCCAGTGGTATGACTGATACAAGTACCCCCGCTATTTGCACACTTGTAAATCGTAGACCTCTGCCTACATCTAAGCAAACGCCGTGCGACGATAACCAGGCACTATTCAGGTAAAGTGGCGTGGTGCGCGCGGCAGATGTAGTGTCTCAAGGTATTTCCTTTCATGGGGCAATTAAACATTTTCTTAGCACATTGCGTACACTTTGTGCACAGTGAGCCACCCATTTGGAACATGCTAAGAGACATCATACAGGAGCGATGGTTCATCTCCACTGGCAAACGGCCTTGACTTTACAACAAGCCCATGGTAATAACACTATTCGTCTTGGCCTTGAATAAGTTACCCTTGTTATTGACACATCTGTTGTTGAACCAGTAACCCCTCAACTGTATGGAGGTCTTTTTTCGCCCTGAATTTTGCTGCTCTAGTGAGGAGCACATTCAAGATCAGAAGCGGGGAGTAAAAAGAGCAGAAGGTGTACACGACTGTTGTAGTGAGGAGCGAGTTCCCAACCAAATCCTCGTGTTCAATCAAACTCGTGAGTCGTGAATGTACTGTACTGTACAGGTCATCGTATTGCGGGATTGTTGTCGACATCTGCGTTTTACGGTTCACATTCTTCGAAGCGACGAATGAAATTTGTCGTGCAAAGGAAGCCCATTTTTGTCTTACCCCTGGCCCACTTATTACGTGTACTCCATCGCCACCTCTATTGCGAAGAGACAAGAACCACCGATGTGTAATCTGAATTTTCCAGTACGGTAGATTGGCATGTGACGGATGGATCACATCGTGTGTTCACAACACACTGTGTATTTCTGTGTCGTATTTGCGTTTTCGTACAGAATACGTAATCGAAAGGGTTTTTAGTTAATCCCGCACTGTTACTGAAAATATACGAAAAAAGCGCAGCATTGTCGCTTCTGGCGCACTGTTAGTGCCCAGTTTTCGATCACAGCGCATAGTTAGTGAGATTTCTACGCAGTAAAGATTTCATTGGTCAAAATGTTGACGGACCGACAACTCCGGTTGGATTGACGGCCATCGAACTGTTTGCACCTGAATTTTGGGCAGACGAAAATATATTACCCTCTCGGATGGCATGCTGTTCAGGGAGCATCAACCCTAAACACCGGGCGGGGTGTTTAGGGAGCATCAACCCTAAACACCGGGCGGAAGTGTTTAGGGAGCATCAACCCTAAACATTGGCCGAAAGTGTTCAGGGCTGATTCCCTTTGTCACGATTTTTATATATATATATATATATAAAAAATATATTTTAATGGGGCCGTCGAGGGAGCATCAACCCTAAACTCCACGCGACTGGATGTTTAGGATTGATGCACTCTCTATATGGGCGTGAAAATTTTGAAACACCTGACTGAGTTAAATAAATTTTCTGTTACATTGCAGGCTTGTCGTTTTTAGACGAATGAGCGTCGAGCTGCGTAGAAATCGCACAAACTCTGCGCTGTAAACGAAAAACGGGCAGTAACCCTGCCCCAGAAGCGATGAAACTGCGCATTTGGCGTGCAGTTTCGAAAACCGTGCGTTGTCAACTGAAAACCCTAATCGAAATTGACGAACCGCAGCATACTGTACCACCCAAGCAAGTGGAGTGCCAACAGAAACAGATACAACCATGCCCTGCCCCGGAGAGTGCAGCAGAACCGTGGGGAGGGGAGAACACTAAGCAAGCCCCGTGTTCCCAGCAGAGCGCAGCAAGTCTTGTGTGAGACTTGCTTGATGCTCCTCAAGGAAGTACCACTGTAGTACATTGTTTAGCGTTTTGGGGCAGCTTGCCACCCAACAAAAATTGTGGCTCTATAGCCGTGGAACATCTCTCCCAGTTGATTAAGTACAGTACAAACCAGTCCATCCGGGCCCTGGTGGGTTCGAATCCACCACGGTCAATTTGAACTGCGATCCAATCTTCCCATTGTGTGTTTGCAAATGCGATCTTTTCGGGCAGAACCACGCGGCTAATCCGCCCGTGTTTAGGGTTGGGGCTCCCCGTGTTTAGGGTTGGGGCTCCCCTAATCGCATGCCATCCAGATGGGGTTTATTTTTTTCTGACCGCGGGCAGATAACGACCCCTCAGCTTCTTCCACTAGGGATCGCATTTGCGAACCGCGCTGGCTAAATTGGATTGCAGCTGAAGTTGTCCCAATCCACCAGGTCCCCCTCCTCGTGGAACCGAGTTTCCACCAGGGCCGCACGCGGATGCAAGCCCTATCGCGGCCCCCAGCTGGGAAACGCACGCGAGTGGGGGTCCCCCGCCCGCCTGCAAGTCCCTAGCGAGATTCGGGCGGCGGAGTCAGCTGGAGTGGTGGTCCCGCGCCGAGCCCGGGCCACGCCAGCGCCACGCAGTCTGGTCCCCCCCCCCGGCCCAGCCCTGGCTCGCGAAACCCCTCGCGAGTCCACTCGCTCTCCAATCCGGTGTCGAGGGCCCAACCCCCAGCGCGCCGAAACAAAGCCAGCCAATCAGAGCCGTTCCCGAGTGGTTTGTCACTTGGAGAACCCTCGCGAGGCAGTCCGCATGCGAATCCGCGCGTGCGAAAGGAGATTCGGGCTGGCCGAAACGGATTCGGCCAATGAGAGCAGGTTTCCGAGCGACGGGCGAATCGTCACGCCTGCGAAGCGGTACCCGTGGTGCCCGAAAAAGTGCAGGCCAATCGCCGTCGTTTACGAGAGTCGGACGGCTTGCACGAGCCTCGTGAAGAACCTTTTTGCCTCGAGTCGAAATTTTCGGTACGGAGTGTACTCCACTGGGATGACCAATAGAAATAATTTTATATGCATCGGGGAATTACTCAGTCGCGCATGTACATGTAATATAACGGAGTGTAGTGCTAATTCGGGTGACCCGATGGTAACATCGGGACTCGGCGGACGCGACGAGGAAAATTCACTCCGCGAGAGTCGGTAACCCGCCCCGAACGGGTCTCGCAGATGGAGTGCATCGTGGCGGAAGTGGGCTGCGCAAGCGTGCATGTTGCGGAACCTCCCGCCTTGTCGAAGTCGAAAGCGGCGCGGGTTGAGAGGCCCGCGCTGTTTGTCCGCGAGTGCCGTCTCTTGATTCCCTCGTGGCCCCCTCTTAGGCTCTCGGTAAGGGCATTTGGTGCTCATTTTCGTTCTCCTCATTTTCGTTCTCCTCCTTCACAACCTGTTTTCTTCCTGCTCGCCCGTTCCACGTAGCGGTCTTTCAAAGCCTAGTGCAAGTAGAGACTCTGACTGACCGCGATCGCGCGTGCTCGCGTGCATCTTGGTCTTTTTTAAACGCGAGCATCGTTTAGCGGACCGTAAATCCTAGATCCCCCGTACCTGTGGTCGCGCTCTTGAGGTGGTACCGGTGATGAACCGCGAAATGAAGGCACTTAGAGCTGGGTCGATGGCGGCCGCCTCCTGTCCGGCCAACATCTCTGTTGCGGGAGCCACGGTGGACCTCCCCCCCGATCAGTGGAAGCTGCTCGCTGATGACAAGCATCCGTTCACGGCCCGTCTGTTCGACTTCGTCGCTTGGTGAGATCCATGCATCCCAATCCCTGATTCCACTGTGCACGCGTTGTTGGTGGTCGCGTGGTATAGCATGATCGCGACATGTCCGCAGTATGCACTAGTGGGCTGTGCAAGGCGCGTCGTATTCCCGCGGTGCTTTTATGTAGCCTTGTTTGTGTCCGTGATTTCCCCCGCTGTGTTTTACCTCTTCCCGCACAGCGTGATTGTCCAGAGGTTTTTGGAGAAAGAGGTGCAGGAGCACATCAGGGTCGTGACGAGCGATGTGGTCGCGGACATTGTCGCGGATCGCGATGAGGCTGTCAAGGCCTTTGCCGGTGTGATGGAGTGCAGCCTTGTTGCATTCTGCATCTGGACCGAGTGAGTGTTTATTTTGGAGTGTTCACTGGTATTGTTTCTCGCACTCGATTACGTGGGTTTACGCGGTCGTTAATGTAACGTGCAGGGACTTGGTGGACAACAATTGCTCGAACGCGAGCATGCTCCTTATGCTCCACCCAGATCACCTGTCGATTGACGGTGACGAGAATTGGCACACGCGTTTCGTTCGCGTTGCTATTCCACCTGGTGGGCGGGAACACGTGACCGCGGCGGAGGCAATTGTGGAGTGAGTACCGCGTACAAGTGTACCATCTTTACCACGTTCAATACCGTTACATGGCTCCCGTCGCTAACCGTGCGTTCGCGTTGCTATGTTTGTGCGTATGGGCAGGTGGTTTCAGGGTCGCGTGGACGAGGAGTTTGCTCGCGGCTCCATTCAGTGCACCCGGGCGCGCCAGCTTCAGGATCCCAATCGGCTGTACGATATGGTAAGTCTGTGTTGTTTACGTGTCCTCGTTGGCCGCGAGTAGTTGCAACCGTGCTAACAAAACCCGCGTTCTGATTCCCAGGACGCGACGTCGTTGAAGGGCTCCTGCGGCAACCTCGCTTGTCTGTTCGCGTTAGACAAGACTCTTGCTCAGTTGGACGCGGTTGCTGCCAATGGATCCGGGCCGCAATTCTCGAGGCCTACCGCGAAGACTCTGAATGCACTGCGGCATGACGCCCACCAAACCGCCGAAGAGCTCGCGTTCAACTTGAGCGTGGATTTGCCGCGACACAAGCACGGCGGTGAGGCTGAGGGGGCTGAATTGGGGAAGATGCATGAAGTGACAACGGGTGCGCGGGTTGCTGACCATGGTGTACTCGCTCTCACAGGTGCCGCTGGTGTTTCGAGCCGCGGAGGTGCTCGCGGCGGGACGGCGGTCCACGCCGATGACGATGGGGCAGACGATACCGCGACTAAGGGTGCACCCCGCGAAGACGCTGACCGCACTGTAGCGCGTGAGGGGGAAGAGTCAAGCGAGGAGGAGGCGGAGGCACACGTGGTCGCGGCCGCGGCAGCCAACAGGCCCGCTACATCCGGCAAGAGCATCAAGCACCTCGCGCAGCACTTGGCCCCCGGTGCTGGAAGCGCGGCCCCGAGTGGTGAGGTCGCGGGCAAGAGTCCCGTGACATGTGCGCGTGATCACGCGTCCCTTTCCGCGTTGCCCTCGCATAGGCTTGCTGCCGAGATCCTGCAGCTTGACTGCAGGCTTGCAGCGCAGGCGGAAGAGATCGCACGGCTGAAGATACGCCAGGAGTCGGGGGTTGGAGGAGTCGCGGTCGTGGGCTCCGAGGAGCTCGCGGCCGCGCTGTCTAATGCGGTTCGGTTGCTGGAGAGGGAGGCGAGGGCGCTCGCGCAGGAAAGGGCGGCCCTGCTGGACACGCGTAACCAGGAGGCGTTGGTGCTGGGGCGAGTGGACGCGAGGTTGGGCCAGCTGCAGGGGGTGGTGGCGGACTCCATGGAAACCGCGCAGAAGAAGTTGACGGACGAGGTTGCGCGGAAGATCGACAACATGTCGTCCGCGGTCTCAACGACAGCAGAGCGGGCAATCACAACCAGCGGGGTCACGAACGCGCTGCACACCCTCATCGCGCTCGTCGGAGGGAGCCCGACTCCGCGCACCTGTACGGAAGATCCGGCCGCGACGGAGAATGCCGATGCCGGGGATGCTGAGCATGGTAAGCGGGCGACGGGTGCGAAGGCCGAGACTCAGAGGGGGGCGAAGAGGCAGAGCGTTCCTCTGGTGCGCAAGGGGAAGACCGTGGTGTAGCGCGAGAAGTCGTCAACAACAATCAGGAAGTACCTCTCCTGACCCTGACCACGGACGCGGGCTGGGCCCCACACGTCCATGTGGAGCGTCTGCAAAGGAGCAGTCGTCGGGGGGAAGGAGGAGGAGTGAGGAGCAGCGCGCTGCCGCCCCTCGACACAGGGAAGACAGGGAGGAGCAGGCGAGGGTGGGAGGGGAGGGAGAACCCTGGGAAGACCAGCAACAAGGTCCCGTTTGTGCATGGCCCGAAGGCGCTGCACAGACGGGTGACCAAGGCGGTGGTGCCAGAGGACAGTCTCATGCGCCAGAGAGCGACACGAGCAGGGGGCGGACAGCTGACCTGACGCAGACGCAGACGCGGACGCAGCGACCTGAGGGGACTCAGTGGTCAGTGTGTACAGGTCCGACCCCGGCTGCCGAGTGAAGGTAGCCAGGTGACGGCCCGTCCGAGCACACGTGCAGTGGGTCACGCGCTCGTAAGCAGGGGTGAACTGGTGGACACCCCCGTCCTGGAGCGCACTACCCGCCACCAAGTTCGTAGAGAACGAGGGGAGGTAGAGACCTGACAGTGTGCCTGACGGGACCGCAGGACAAGGAAGAACAGTGGAGGAGGTCGCAACGACCGGACCCCCAGAGGGGTCAGCGAGGGAGACAGCAACTGGCCGAGCGAGTGGCTCAAGGACAGTGCGGTCACGAAAGAAACAGCAAGAAGCACCTGAGTCCAGTGTGAAGGTGTGCAGTGCTGCAGTCGACTCAGTACCAGCGGGCACGGACGCACTAGCACCTAGAGCAGCAGCCTCACCATCACCTGAGGTGGCAGACACGCGAGCACCTGCAGTGGCGGTCTCACTAGCACCTAGAGCGGCAGCCTCACTCACACTACACGGCAGCTGCACCGGTCCGCGCCCAGAAGCTCCCGAACGACGCACTCCAGAGTGACTACCACGACCACCACCCCGAGAGCCCAAACTCGCGTACCACTCACGAGCCCGCTGGAGCGTAAGAGGACACTGCTGCTGCACCTGTCCACTACCAGATGCTCCCGAACAACGCACGCCAGAGCGACTACCACTACGGCCACCCCGACAGCCCAAACTGGCGTACCACTCTCGGGCCCGCTGGAGCGTAAGAGGACACTGCTGCTGCACCTGTCCACTACCAGATGCTCCCGAACAACGCACTCCAGAGCGACGACCACGACGGCCACCCCGACAGCCCCAACTAGCGTACCACGCACGCGCACGAAGCAGCTGGGGCGAAGGAGGGCACGGCAGCTGCACCTGTCCACTACCAGAAGCTCCCGACCGACCCACTCCAGAGCGACCACCACTACGGCCACCCCGACAGCCCCAACTAGCGTACCACTCACGCGCACGAAGCTGCTGGGGCGTGAGGGACTCACGCGCACGGCCCTGGAGCTGCATCTGGCCACGCCAGGAGCAGCAGTAGTAGCAGTAGCGGCAGCAACAGTAGTAACAGCAGGAGCTGTGGCAGTGGGAGTAGAAAAGGCAGTAGCAGCAGTAGCAGCGGTAGCAGTGCTGGGCAATGCTCACCAGTGGTCGGCGCGGCAGGCGCAAGACGGTGGCGACAGCGGGGCCGCTACAACTGCAGGGCTGGGCCGGGCCGCAGCAGGGAGCTCCGCGGCAGCTGCTGCAGGGCGAGGCCGGGCCGCGACGGCAGCTGCTCCAGGTGCCAGGGGCGGCTGCTGCAGTGGCGGCGGCTCCAGGGGCCAGGGGCGGCTGCTGCAGCGGTGGTTGCTCCAGGGGCCAGGGGCGGCTGCTGCAGGTGCGGGCTGCTCCAGGGGCAGCTGCTGCAGGTACGTGCTGCTCCAGAGGGGGCTGCTGCAGTGGCGGGCGGCTCCAGGGGCTGCTACTGCAGTGGCGGGCGGCTCCAGGGGCTGCTGCTGCAGTGGCGGCTGCTCCAGGGGCTGCTGCTGCAGTGGCGGCTGCTCCAGGGGCGAGAGGCGGATTAGGTCAGGGCGACGCGGCGAGAAGGGCGACGCGGCGGGCAGGTGGCGACGCCGCGGGCAGGGCGACGCGGCGGGTAGGTGGCGACGCCGCGAGCAGGGCGACGCGGCGGGCAGGTGGCGACGCCGCGGGCAGGTCGACGCGGCGGGCAGGTGGCGACGCCGCGGGCAGGGCGACGCGGCGGGCAGGTGGCGACGCCGCGGGCAGGTCGACGACGTCGCGGGCAGGCGACGACGCCGCGGGCAGGCGACGACGCCGCGGGCTGGCGACGACGCCGCGGAAAGCGGGCCGCGCGCGGGTGGCTAGCAGGCCGTGCGTGCGCGGTAGGGAGAGGCGCACGAGGGCGCAAGAGCGCACGAGGGCGCGCGGTAGGGAGAGGCGCACGAGGGCGCGAGGGCGCACGAGGGCGCGCGGTAGTAAGAGGCGCACGAGGGCGCGAGGGCGCACGAGGGCGCGCGGTAGTAAGAGGCGCACGAGGGCGCGAGGGCGCACGAGGGCGCACGGTAGTAAGAGGTAGGTAGGTAGCGGTGGGCCCTAAAACGGTCCTAGTGAAGGACCTGCTCTGATACCATGTCAGAATGAACGGACAGGAATGATTGAACTAACAGTGAAATCAGTACAAGTACCTAACCCTAGAATTGTGTACCCCCTATAGGCTAACCCACTGTAGCCTAAACAAACACAACATATATAATGTTTGACAGGTAACGCGGGAAGCGGAAGAGGGACTGGTGCAAGGGGTAACGCGGGAAGAGGAAGAGGTGCAGCTGCGAGAGGGAACGCGGGAAGAGGGACAGGTGAGAGTGCGAGAGGTGCTAGAGGAAGGGGTGGGAGAGCGAACGCGGGACGTGGGACCGGTGTGGGACGGAACGGAGGTAGTGCGAACGGGCGGAGCGCGCCTGGGGTGTTAGGCAACGGAGGCAGAGAACCCGGTGGTAACGCGAGCGGAGGTACCGGGAACGTCCCAGTCAGTAGACCGCAAGTAAGGAGGCGGCGAGTCGAAGTCGCGCCTCACACGGCACGCCTCGGATCGCGAGAGGGTAACGAGGGGGAAAGCGATGATGATGACGAGGAGGACGCTGAAGATGAGGAAGATAGTTGGAATGAAGATGACGAAAACTACCTCTCTAACTCGTTGTCCGCGCTCAACGAGGGGGAGGAGGAAGACAACGAACGAGTGCGGGGTACGCGAACGGATTTGGAGGTTCCCATCGCGGATTGGAACCGGCTTGGTGTGGACGACACGCCGGTCGCGAAAAAAGAGGTGTGCATGGGCATCCTCTACGGTGTCTCTGAAGCCACGCTGAAGAAATATCGCGGTTGGGCAAGAGAGTACAAGCTCTTCATGGCGCACGAGCTGCCGAAGCTGGACGCGAATAGGTTCGGTGAGGAGGCCGCGTTGGAAAACGCGAACCCCGACGAGATCGGGGCCGCGCTCGAGCAGGACATGGGTGCTGACTGGAAGATGGCGAAGGGCGACGAGCAGTGGTTCCACGGCCCTGAGACGAATCCGTGGAGGTTACGCAAATACGTGACCTTCCTCGCGAACGAGACGGTCGCCCAGGCGGACAGGATGGCCACACTCAAGCGGCCCGACAAGACCCTGAAGAAGAGACGCCAGTGCTCCCCTGCAATGCTGATGGGGCGTCTCAAGGCTCTGAACATGCTCATCAAGCTGGACGGGGCCATCTTCAGGAAGCCGGTTCTGAATCTCCTGCGCGACTTTGCGGTGTGTCGCATCTGGGTCCGCGTTCAAGTCCGCGACCAGTACAAGCGGTTCATCGCGTAAGCATACGTACTCAGTGAACGCGAATGTCCGAGTTTACCGCGTTCGTACAGAGGCTCACAATCGTGGAACGGGTTTGATGCAGGGAACACATGGATCGCCATCGGGGCACGGCCGCGGACACGTACAACCCGGACGAGTTCAAGAAGATGATGCGGAAAACCAGCATGGCCGCCATCGTGAGCAGCTTCACACTAGCCAAGCAACAGTACACGCAGGCAATGCATCGCGACCTCTGCATCAGGACGATGACGGTCCTCGGTCATCACACACTAGCTCGCGGGTGCACGATCCGAAACCTCCAGCTTCCAGACATGATGATGTGGAAGCTCGGCGCAAAATCCGAGACGGATCCAGTGCGGAATGCGTTCGCGTTTGTGTGCGCGTGCAGGACGGGCAAGACAAACAAGGACTTCTCGCTCAACTACATCTCGGCAGTGAGACACATTGATTGGACTCTGTGCGCGGTCGGAGCCACGCTGCTATGGCTGCACTGGGTGTACGACTTGGTCCCTATCCTCTACGGGGACATAGCCCCCCCTCTCGACTTCACGGAACCTTCGACGTGGTACGACCAGTACCTCTTCTTCCCCCTTCGCGCGGGCACCGAGAAGCAGATACCGCCCACGACTCATCACGACTGGGCGGCGAAGATTCTGGGGGACGCGGGAATCACATGCTCGCGTGTCGTTCACGCGACTAGAGCTGGAGGGGCTCAGCACGCGGCCGCAGACGGAATGCCGTCGGATCAGCTGGCGAGACTGGGGGGGTGGCGCTTCATCGACGTGATGACTAAGCACTACCTCACAACTATTCCGAGGGAGGCCGTGCTCCTGAAGGCTGGCTTCACAGGGGTTGATGGTGACTACTTCCTGGGTCGCGCAACAGTTCCACCGAGCGAGGCGCTGGAGAAGCTGATGAAGAAGCACATCTTCCCATGGGCCGCCGAGGACAAAGGGCAGAAACAGGTGGGTGTGGGCCGCGCATAGTAGTATCAACACACCGCGATCATTCCACATAAACCCCTAAACTATCGCGTTGTTGTGTTGCACAGTGCCATGATTACAACAGCAAGATGGTCAAAGAGAAGAAGCCGGAGAAGCAGGACACCGCGGGTCTAAACATACTGAAGGAGCTGAATGGGGAGGCTAGAATGGCAGTCGCACAAGACCTGGCCATGTATTACATACACCAGCCGCGACACCCGTACGTGGTCAACAACCCGCTCTGCCAGACAGAGGAATTTGCGCGGTGGGCAGCAGATGTCTCCTTGGCAAATCAGCTGGCCATAGTACAGCGAAACACCCCTACACTGACCCAGCCCGCGGTGCGTACTGTGTGGTCGCGTTACTAGTTCGGCTGTAATGTCAATGCGTACCCATCACATTTTACGCGTTCGCGTTCTGTGTATGCAGGAGGTCAGTACCAGGATGGACGCGCAGAACCAAGTGGCCTGCCTCACTGAGTACCTGACACGTTCACAAGCGGACAACACCAGGTTGGCCGTAGAGCTGGCCGCGATCCAGAGACGGGTGAAAGAGCTGGAGGGGCTGCTGGAAGATCGCGACCGGAGGCTGGCTGAGAAGGACGAGCGCGTGAACGACCTGGAAGCCCAGCTGTCGCGTCTCACCGTGAGCAGCTCAGGGCCGACCGCGGATCCGAGACCGGCAAACACTCCTGGAGCCGCGGCCGCGCCCACCAATTCCGCAACCCCCACCGACCAGGGGACGCGTAAGAAGCCAGCACAGCCGACCAGGGATGAGACTATTCGGGACGCGATCATGAAACCATGGGTGAACGCGACCAAGCCGTCGGACGGATGGAAGCTGTACAAGTCCACGCACGCGCTGGTAGGCGAGAGTCCAGAGTCGCTACTGGCCCAACCCCGTGGTGCAGTTACGCGAATGGCCGAGCTCATGGGGAAGGAGAAGGGCGGCCAGAACGCCGCCCAGAACGCGATAAACCGTGTGAAGCGAGTCATGGACTTCATCTCCCGCAGGGTGGAGCAGGGAGACAACATCGACGTCGTGCTCGAGAAACTCGACAACGTGACCCGATCTGTGGGCATGTCGGGTGTGTCGGAAGGGATCGCGGTGAAGAAGAAGAGTGTTGACTCGTCGCTGAGAGAGCTGAAGAAGGGTACCCCTGCGGAGGTGCAGTTGCGGGTTAAATGGATGCTTGTACGCGACCGCCTCATCGATGCCTCGCTTCCCGCGTCTGAGTTTCCGGTCGCGTGGCTTCAGTACTGTGACCAGATGCCTCCGCTAGCTTAGTGCGTGCAGATCGCGACCGCGGGACATGGTTTGTCAGGCTGCTGACTTCATGTGTTTGTAATGTAGGAGAGTGTGGACCAATGGTTTTCTAATGTTCAACGTACGACATGTGTGTGGTTCCCATTGAAACGCGTTCGAAAAGTGCGTGATGCAGACCAGGAATGGCTGTTCAAGCTTGTTTTTCGCGGTTCCCGTCCGCGGTAGTCATGATTCTGTCTTCAAGCACATATTGATCCAAGTCAGCACTATGTTTTCACGCTAATACACACACACAAACACACACGACATACTACATGCACACATGTCCGCAACATGAACAACAGTCCACCGCGAGTACAACTCAAGCAGGGTGGACAGGCTGCGCACACGCGACGCGACACTACACGCACTCAAGTCCGCTTCTTAAGACGATCCTTGGGCAGGGCAAGGTAAAGCCCAATGGACTCCATGACCTTCCCCGCAACCGAGCAGTCGCACCAGGTGATGATAACGTCCACCGTTTCGCGAGCAGCCATCTCAATGTGCCTGAGGTCGCGAGACTTGGCGACGACGTCGTTCACGACTTCAGATGCAATCGCGTCCGCGACCACCCTCGGATCCGCGACTACCTTCGGCTCGTCGTCACCAGCTTGCTTCTCGCGAGAATTGCGCCGCCGCACAGCCCTGATGACGTACGCGGTTACAACGGGGAACAGACGGCATCGATCCCTCTGGCAGTTAACCGCTCGCGCGGCCAAATTGCCAGAATCCGACGCGGTCGAGACCGCCGAACCGCGCGTCACCTCCCACACCATTGCGATCGCGCACGCGATCGCTCCCGCGTAATCCCGCGGATCCACATCGCGGTAGAGCTCCGTCTCTTCTGCTGCAGCCTCCGTGCCCACCACCGCGGCCCAAGCAATCTCGTTGGTGGTGGTCGATCCGGGCTGGGTCAGCTCGCGGTAGTGCTTGAACATGCGGGTCCACCTGCCACGCAGTGGGTGTAGCGGCCAGAACACGATAAACCAACCCCCCACCCCCAACATACACGACAGTATGAACGCGCTAGATGCATGTGAGATGGTGCCGCTCACCTTTCCCTGCTGGCCACGAGGTTGCGGTGATGCATGGTGATGAGGAGGCCCGTGTGTAGCCCCTCGGCAGCGGACAGGTCCGCGGCCCAATCCCGCATCTGCTTAGAGCTGAGGTGCAGCCCGGGATCCACCTTCAGGTCGTACGGCATCATCGCGATCGCGGTTTTGTACTGCAGGTCGTCGCGCTCGCCTTGTCCAAGCCACCGCTTCTTCCCCCCCAGATGCGGTTCAGAAACCAAGCCAGGACCGCCCCTGGGAGGATGGCGGATACCACAGCCTTTGCGCTTGCTGACTGTGTCACCCTGTCCCCCCGTTGGCCCACTGGGCACGACCACGGTGTCTGCGTCCTGCTCGTCCGCGCTCTCCCCGCCGCTAAACAGTTCGACCGCGTCCACCACACCCTGCTCTCCTCCGTCGCCCTCCTCCCCGACCCACCGGCTCGCGAGATTCTCGAGCTCCTCGTCCGCATCGTCCTCGTCGATGGTGTACACGGGTGGAGGGGGCAACTTCTTGCCTCGCCCGCGTTTTTCCGTCTTGGCCTCTCCCGCGGCAGCGCTCGGACCTGCAGATGCCAGCGCGCTGTGCAGATGACCCGCGGTAATCGCGGGATGAGCGGGTGCGAGAGCGGTCTGCCTTCCCTCCGCCGCAGCAGCCGCCGCGGACTGCTCCTCACGCCCCGCTGCAAGCGAACCCACAGCGGCCGGCACCTCTCCATCCTCCAACTTACCCTTGCCCTTACCCGCAGTGGTTGTCACTGTCGCGGTCGCCCCGGCAGGGCCCGGTGCTTTGGGTGCAGCTTCTCCAGGTGGGATGGAGCGCGAGCTCGACCCCGGTTGACCAGGCGGTGCAGCGCCTCGCGATGCAGTGCCCCACTTGTTCTTGAGGATGTCATGCACGCTCGGGTGGCGCACCGCGGCCGCTGCCTGAGGAACCCTCTGCCTCTTCGCCCCCCTCTGAGTCTCGGCCTTCGCACCCGCCGCCCGCTTACCATGCTCAGCATCCCCGGCATCGGCATTCTCCGTCGTGGCCGGATCTTCCGTACCGGTGCGCGGAGTCGGGCTCCCTCCGACGAGCGCGATGAGGGTATGCAGCGTGTTCGTGACCCCGCTGGTTGTGATTGCCCGCTCTGCTGTCGCTGAGACCGCGGACGACATGTTGTCGATCTTCCGCGCAACCTCGTCCGTCAACTTCTTCTGCGCGGTTTCCATGGAGTCCGCCACCACCCCCTGCAGCTGGCCCAACCTCGCGTCCACTCGCCCCAGCACCAACGCCTCCTGGTTATGCGTGTCCAGCAGGGCCGCCCTTTCCTGCGCGAGCGCCCTCGCCTCCCTCTCCAGCAACCGAACCGCATTAGACAGCGCGGCCGCGAGCTCCTCGGAGCCCACGACCGCGACTCCTCCAACCCCCGACTCCTGGCGTATCTTCAGCCGTGCGATCTCCTCCGCCTGCGCTGCAAGCCTGCAGTCAAGCTGCAGGATCTCGGCAGCAAGCCTATGCGAGGGCAACGCGGAAAGGGACGCGTGATCACGCGCACATGTCATGGGACTCTTGCCCGCGACCTCACCACTCGGGGCCGCGCTTCCAGCACCGGGGGCCAAGTGCTGCGCGAGGTGCTTGATGCTCTTGCCGGATGTAGCGGGCCTGTTGGCTGCCGCGGCCGCGACCACGTGTGCCTCCGCCTCCTCCTCGCTTGACTCTTCCCCCTCACGCGCTACAGTGCGGTCAGCGTCTTCGCGGGGTGCACCCTTAGTCGCGGTATCGTCTGCCCCATCGTCATCGGCGTGGACCGCCGTCCCGCCGCGAGCACCTCCGCGGCTCGAAACACCAGCGGCACCTGTGAGAGCGAGTACACCATGGTCAGCAACCCGCGCACCCGTTGTCACTTCATGCATCTTCCCCAATTCAGCCCCCTCAGCCTCACCGCCGTGCTTGTGTCGCGGAAAATCCACGCTCAAGTTGAACGCGAGCTCTTCGGCGGTTTGGTGGGCGTCATGCCGCAGTGCATTCAGAGTCTTCGCGGTAGGCCTCGAGAATTGCGGCCCGGATCCATTGGCAGCAACCGCGTCCAACTGAGCAAGAGTCTTGTCTAACGCGAACAGACAAGCGAGGTTGCCGCAGGAGCCCTTCAACGACGTCGCGTCCTGGGAATCAGAACGCGGGTTTTGTTAGCACGGTTGCAACTACTCGCGGCCAACGAGGACACGTAAACAACACAGACTTACCATATCGTACAGCCGATTGGGATCCTGAAGCTGGCGCGCCCGGGTGCACTGAATGGAGCCGCGAGCAAACTCCTCGTCCACGCGACCCTGAAACCACCTGCCCATACGCACAAACATAGCAACGCGAACGCACGGTTAGCGACGGGAGCCATGTAACGGTATTGAACGTGGTAAAGATGGTACACTTGTACGCGGTACTCACTCCACAATTGCCTCCGCCGCGGTCACGTGTTCCCGCCCACCAGGTGGAATAGCAACGCGAACGAAACGCGTGTGCCAATTCTCGTCACCGTCAATCGACAGGTGATCTGGGTGGAGCATAAGGAGCATGCTCGCGTTCGAGCAATTGTTGTCCACCAAGTCCCTGCACGTTACATTAACGACCGCGTAAACCCACGTAATCGAGTGCGAGAAACAATACCAGTGAACACTCCAAAATAAACACTCACTCGGTCCAGATGCAGAATGCAACAAGGCTGCACTCCATCACACCGGCAAAGGCCTTGACAGCCTCATCGCGATCCGCGACAATGTCCGCGACCACATCGCTCGTCACGACCCTGATGTGCTCCTGCACCTCTTTCTCCAAAAACCTCCGGACAATCACGCTGTGCGGGAAGAGGTAAAACACAGCGGGGGAAATCACGGACACAAACAAGGCTACATAAAAGCACCGCGGGAATACGACGCGCCTTGCACAGCCCACTAGTGCATACTGCGGACATGTCGCGATCATGCTATACCACGCGACCACCAACAACGCGTGCACAGTGGAATCAGGGATTGGGATGCATGGATCTCACCAAGCGACGAAGTCGAACAGACGGGCCGTGAACGGATGCTTGTCATCAGCGAGCAGCTTCCACTGATCGGGGGGGAGGTCCACCGTGGCTCCCGCAACAGAGATGTTGGCCGGACAGGAGGCGGCCGCCATCGACCCAGCTCTAAGTGCCTTCATTTCGCGGTTCATCACCGGTACCACCTCAAGAGCGCGACCACAGGTACGGGGGATCTAGGATTTACGGTCCGCTAAACGATGCTCGCGTTTAAAAAAGACCAAGATGCACGCGAGCACGCGCATCGCGGTCAGTCAGAGTCTCTACTTGCACTAGGCTTTGAAAGACCGCTACGTGGAACGGGCGAGCAGGAAGAAAACAGGTTGTGAAGGAGGAGAACGAAAATGAGGAGAACGAAAATGAGCACCAAATGCCCTTACCGAGAGCCTAAGAGGGGGCCACGGGGGAATCAAGAGACGGCACTCGCGGACAAACAGCGCGGGCCTCTCAACCCGCGCCGCTTTCGACTTTGACAAGGCGGGAGGTTCCGCAACATGCACGCTTGCGCAGCCCACTTCCGCCACGATGCACTCCATCTGCGAGACCCGTTCGGGGCGGGTTACCGACTCTCGCGGAGTGAATTTTCCTCGTCGCGTCCGCTGAGTCCCGATGTTACCATCGGGTCACCCGAATTAGCACTACACTCCGTTATATTACATGTACATGCGCGACTGAGTAATTCCCCGATGCATATAGAATTATTTCGATTGGTCATCCCAGTGGAGTACACTCCGTACCGAAAATTTCGACTCGAGGCAAAAAGGTTCTTCGCGAGGCTCGTGCGAGCCGTCCGACTCTCGTAAACGACGGCGATTGGCCTGCACTTTTTCGGGCACCACGGGTACCGCTTCGCAGGCGTGACGATTCGCCCGTCGCTCGGAAACCTGCTCTCATTGGCCGAATCCGTTTCGGCCAGCCCGAATCTCCTTTCGCACGCGCGGATTCGCATGCGGACTGCCTCGCGAGGGTTCTCCGAGTGACAAACCACTCGGGAACGGCTCTGATTGGCTGGCTTTGTTTCGACGCGCTGGGGGTTGGGCCCTCGACACCGGATTGGAGAGCGAGTGGATTCGCGAGGGGTTTCGCGAGCCAGGGCTGGGCCGGCGGGGGGACCACACTGCGTGGCGCTGGCGTGGCCCGGGCTCGGCGCGGGACCACCACTCCAGCTGACTCCGCCGACCGAATCTCGCTAGGGACTTGCAGGCGGGCGGGGGACCCCCGCTCGCGTGCGTTTCCCAGCTGGGGGCCGCGACAGGGCTTGCATCCGCGTGCGGCCCTGGTGGAAACTCGGTTCCACCAGGAGGGGGACCTGGTGGATTCGAACCCACCAGGGCCCGGATGGACTGAGGGTGTTGCTTCCTCCCTCATTTCCGACTCTGAAGGGCTTCATTGGATGTCACGTGCGAAAAGGTTTGCCCTTTTCAGAAAATCGGTCCTTCGCGGCTCGGACGAGGTGGCGAGAACCCTATCCTCGAAAGTGTGTCCTCAAAGCCTCAGACAGTCGGGCTGTCTTTCGAGGTGCTATCCTTCAGACAGACCATTTCGAGAAGCGCAGGCGTTAGTAGTTAACTTACAAGCTCTTAGAAAAAGTCCGCGTGCAACGGACGTGCGACTATGATTCCCGGAAATAATGGTTTCCCGCCAGGATTTCAATTCCGACCGACGGACGAGGAGCTGCTGTGTTACTACCTCAGGCGGCGCGTGGAGGGCCTTTCCCATCGCGTGGAATGCGATTGGCGATGTGGACCTGTACAAGTCCGAGCCTTGGGAACTGCCAGGTACTGCGGCCTATTCTTCAGGCTGAAGATTCATTGTTTTCTAGGCTCCCCAGAAAAGCATTTGATAGCAAGAGCAAGAACCACATTCACAAGCTCCCCTGAGCCTAGCCAAAACGACAACATTCCATAGCTGTGGTTTGCTGATTCATCCGCATCTTCAATGACAGACCTCACATATCCCTATTACCTGATGCCAATAAACCACAAACTTCCACAATCATCACCAAAAAGTGTGGCTCCGAAATGTAGCTGGGTAGCTAAAATATATAAATTATAAAAAAAGAGAGTCCCAATTTCAAGGTTACGGTAACTGTCTGTAAATGTATCCAAAATGAGACACGCCCAAAATTGGTCCAGAAAGAGTAACAACACTTTGAGCGGAAGGTAGCCGGATCGATACTTGCTGGGTGCATTATAAGATGTTCCCTTGAATTGTCACCTCAGCATCAACTCCGAGTTGGTTCCACTTCGAGCGCATGGAGTTGGCAACTTTCGCTTGGACTTCAAGAACCTCTCTCCCCATCGCATTACTTCCTGCCGCTTCGATAACACCCGGAGAATCAAGCTTCGCCATCTGCAAAATCGTCTCACCCCAACCAAACCCGAAATTGACCTGGAAGTCACCTTTGGGTCACGAGCCTTGGTGAGTCGAGAGTCAATGGGTCCGTCAAGTTGGGGTCACTCAACATTGACCCTAACCTAACCTGGCAGCCAACCCAAAGGTGACGCGCAGGTCAGCACTGTTCATCCGAGTCGCCCTCCCGCAATAGAGTGATCCATTACATGCTACAATTTTTTACTGTACATGCTACACCATAAAATAAATCGAATTCGTATACTAATGATTAATGTTCCATAGTATTCCAACATTTCCAATTACCGTAGGGATCAGGAAATACAATATATCAAGGTGAAGTATACACGCAAGGGCAGTCGCTATACCACGGTACACTGCACACCAACTATACGCATCTTAGCACATCTACATAGCGCTCAAGACCATACCATCGACTAGACATGGTAAAATCAAGGTAACCGAACGATAGCGATCTTGCAATCCGACGACCACCTGCCACACACCAGCAGCAGACACAGGAGGCAATAAACGCAGCCAGAAAACATTAACATGTAAGAAACAGTACATACCACAGTGCTGTACAAACCGTTACACCCACACAAAAAATGTTCATACTGATTGTCCTCCAGATAATCATAGCAAATTCTGCACACAACTCAGAATACAAACGCTGTGAAAGAAAACACGAATACATGTAATGTCAAGTAGGGAAGCCGCTTACACGCGAATGAAAACCATGTTGTAATAAATAACAAAACGCCGCCACATGTACTGCCATGTTGGGTAAAGGAACGTGAATTTAAAAGGCATGCTTCCTCACCCACGTAGATGTCGGCTGCTCGTAGCAGCGTGAGCCACGGGGAAGAAGCCACGACAGGAGCCGTTGCTGCGCCCTGAACCAATAGCCAACATACAACACAGTCAAAACCACGTTGTTATAAATAAACAACAGACCGCCACGTGTACTGCCATGTTGAGAAAAGGAACAGGAAAAGTGCGCGCTTTCTTACCAGCTCGATGGTCACCCACCCACGGCTGCTAGAAGCCACGATTGGAGCCGTTGCTGCCCCTCGTTAGACCTTCGTCGCTCCCCGCCACCTGCCCAACCACCCCCGCACCATCGCTCCTGGCCACCACCCGTTGCCTCCCTTCCCACCAGCAGCTCTGACGCCGGCGCTCTGTCGCCAGCTCTGACGGCAGCTCTGACACCGGCGCGGCGGCGGATGCGGTGGGGAGTTTTGCTGGAAGAGCCTATGAAAGCGAGGGTCAAGGAGAAGGGAGAACAACCTTTAAAGAAATAAACAAATTAAAAGGATATGGGCGTATCAGCTGCACGACAGCGCAAATGGTAAGAAGTTGATCGTTGCTTTTGTTGTATAAGAAGACCGCATCTGCACGACGAAACATGACTCGTTCGAACCTCATCGCTGCCTGCTAAATTTCCTAAGTGCAGGGTGCGTAGAAAAGCAGACACAAAAGTCGAGCTGCTGTAAGCAAATGAACATAGACTCAGCAGAGCAAAGTTCAATGGGCTATCTTTGTGACTAAACTAGGTTTATCGCGGTGTTACACGTTTCATAAAGGTTTAGCAACGGTACTGGGGTTGGGCGAGGTATGCTGAAAGGGTTGGGGAAGAAATTGGATGACTTGGAATATGTGGTTCACTGTTGTTCTGTGGAGCGGATTTTCAGACGGCAGCTGTGCAGTTTTCGGCGCAGCTGGCAGCTTTTGATTCGACCAGCAGTGCATGACAGGTGGCTAAAATTTCCAGCACTGAAAACGTACTGAGCTGGCAGTTCTTTCCGTTTTCAGACCAATGGCCATGCCACAGTTTACAAGTCTCACCTGATTCTGGTCCCCCTGCTCGTGATAGGCTGCTCTGATTTCATGTGTTTGGGGTTAGGCGATCGCGCCAGGGGGGGGGGGGGGGGTGGGGGGGGGGGGGACATGTCCTGGCAGGTGGGTTGTAACATTGTTTCGCCTACAGGTCGCCCTTGGTGACGCGACGGGTGCTACGCAGGTCGCGCGCGAAATGGCGACATGTTACCAGATTCGGGTGTTATAGCATTTTTTTAATTGTGTACCAGGCATCCTAGTACAAATGTCGTACCTCCAAGAATATATCATAAATAAAAATGCCAGGCAGCATTTAGAACTTTTTTTTGGAGGAAATGTTTTCAAAAAAAAAAATGAAACTCATATTATCATATTCATTTTTTCAAGTTGGAAACATCGTTAATTACAAAGAGAATATGTTGGGAATATTAATCTGTTATGAGTATAACTGCAATTGATTTGTTTCGCCTTATTTCAACTATTCAGGCGATTTTTTTTTCTGAACGTGTGCGATTCGTCAATGTCAGCTCGAAGTCGCGACCCGGGAAATTTCGACGTACGATTGGCTAATGTTTTCCCTCGATGCGACCCGAGCCATTTATGGCATGTTATCGCCTTCCGATTGGCCAATGTTCAACGGAATAGCGGCTCGAATTTTTTTGGAACGCGCTGCGGTGTCAGGTTGGGGTCATTTTCGGGTCAGGCGCGTAATTTCCAGTGAAATTCGTAACCTCAAGGCAACCTGCGGGTCTCGGCCGACTGAACTTGATCTGTAAGTCACCTTTGGGTGAGGTACAGGAAACCTTGTAGTCACCTTGGGGTGAGTAATTTCGCTGGGTCAGCCTAGGGTGGGCCACATTTTGCAGATGGCTCCATCGCCTCCACAGGCCTTACAAAGCCTCATCTCTCCCTCTCCACCCCCTCTTATCTCTCCCCTCCCCTGCAACTCCATTCCCAGTCAGAAAAAAAGGTGGCCGGTCGCTGCACCAGTCGAGTCTCCCTGGCTACGAGAGGCCCCAAGCACCTTTCTCATCTCATCCACAGCAAATTGCCCTAATGTTGCTGACGTTAGTGGCTCTTTCTCACTTTCCTTCCCATCCTCACGTCCCTCCCTCTCCGCCACTCCCAGCCAGAGCAACTTGCACTATTCCCGGCGACGGCGAGTGGTTTTTCTTCGCAGCCCGCGACCTCAAGTACCCATCAGGTTCAAGGTCCAACCGAGCCACAAATGCTGGGTACTGGAAGGCCACTGGGAAGGACAGGCCAGTCCACATGCGGTTCGCAGGCAACGAAGGCACAGAGGACCAGACAATCAGAGTGGGAATAAAAAAGACTCATGTCTTTATATGTGAGTGTCTTGTTCGGGTCTGCATTTTCTTCTTTCAGGCTGGTTTGATCAAAACTTGGATTGTCTCTATTTCTTTGACATGTTCTCAGATGGTTTGGTTGGGCTGTGCTTTAGTTCGTGCGTGTGCGTGTGTGTGTGTGTGTGTGCGCGCGCGCGCACGCATGTGTGCATGCGTGCGTCGAGCGTGCGTGCGTGCGTGTGTGTGTGCGTGCGTGCGTGCGTGTGTGTGTGTGTGTGTGTGTGTGTGTGTGACTGTGTGTGTGTGTATGTGTGTGTGTGTGTGTGCGTGCGTGCGTGTGTGCGTGCGTGCGTGCGTGCGTGTGTGTGTGTGTGTGTGTGTGTATGTGTGTGTGTGTGTGTGTGTGTGTGTGTGTGTGTGTGAGTGTGTGTGTGTCTGCGTGCGTGCGCACGTGCGTTCGTGCTCGTGCGTGTGTGCGTGCGCACGTGCGTGCGTGCGTGCGCACGTGCGTGCGTGCGTGCGTGCGTGTGTGTGTGTGTGTGTGTGTGTGTCTGTGTGTGTGTGTGTGTGTGTGTGTGTGTTCGTTTGACTGCGTGTGTGTGTTTGTGTGTATGTGTGTGCGTGCGTGCGTGCGTGCGTGCGTGCGCGTGTGTGTGTGTGTGTGTGTGTGTGTGTGTGTGTGTTCGCGTGCGAGCGCGCGCGCGCGTGCGTGTGGAATGCTGAAACGCTTGTAAAAAAAAGGCCTCCATTTTAATTATTCTTCTTCTTTTATTTCTTCTGTGTTGTGGCAACAGGGGGCGAGCGCCAGGAGGGGACAAGACCGACTGGGTCATGCACGAGTACCGGCTGACAGAGGACTCGCCTGTAGCTGGGCCTGCTGCTACAGACGAGGCCCGTGCTACAGCCGCAGGAGACAAATCGAACCCAGGATTAGATTCTGCACAAGAAAGCATGGAAGAAGGTGTGGATGCGGCAGGTGGTGCTGTCACTGGCCAGAACAGCAGCAGAGAAGATGAAACGTCCAACCCAGACACCCAAGGTCTAGGAGCTCGTGGTGTAGCAGGTGGCGATGCTGCAGATGGTGGGTTAGCCATTAGCAACAACAACAGCAGCAGCAGCAGCAGCAACAGCCCCGAAGCCAGCAGTCCAGAGCGACAAACGGGCTCTGCGCAAAGAATCAAAGTGGCATCGTGGTTGGTTGTGCGGGTGCTCAAGAGAAGCTCCCTGACTGCTGAGGAGCTTGCGATGATGCCACAGCAGGGGATGATGGCACAGCAGGGGATGATGGCACAACAGGGGATGATGGCACAGCAGGGGATGATGGCACAGCAGGGGATGATGGCACAGCAAGCGATGGTAGCGCAACAAGCAATGGATGCCCATCAAGCAATGATAATGCAGCAGCAGGGTGGGATTGCTGCTTCCCAGGCTGTGAATCCGTGGCTCTCTACGCAGCAGCAAGGGAGCAGAGAAGAGCAGAAACCAGGCTATGCTGGTGGGGCTAGGAGAAGCACATTTGGTGCTACTAGTAGTGAAGGCGGAGCGAGGAGCACAGCTGGTGCTGGTGATGAAGGTGGAGCTAGTGGGAGCGCAGGTAGAGCAAACAGTTCAGGAAATGAGTTAACACAGGAGCCAGTGGAGGAGGAAGAAACCCCAATAATTCCAGAAGCAGCAGGAGGAGGAGCAGAAGTGGGGGCACCAGTAGGAGCAATGGCGCATGCAGTAATGGATATAGTAGGAGCAGGGGCAGAACTGGGAGCAACAGCAGGAGCAGCATTGATAGCAGCTGCAGTGCAGCAGGGGTTGTCTCTCCAACAACAGCAAGACAGCAGCGCAGCAGTGCAGCAGGGGTTGTTTTTTCAGCAGCAGCAAAGCAGCACCCCAGCAGGGCAACAAGGGTCATCACAAGCAGTCTGTTGCAAGCAGCAGGAGCAACTCACGGCATCCCCTTCACCAGCTCCCATTGCTCCAAAATCAACCACTCCCCTGCTTCACCTCCCCCTCCCCCTCACCCGCACCCGCACCCACACCCAGACTCGCAATCTCAACAGCACCCACCTCCTGATTCCCTCTCTGTCTCTCACAGAATCACAGATTCACCGAGCTGGTTACATGGTTACATCTCAGCAAGGCCACGACTCACGTCAGCAAAGTGGTTACCAGCAGGTGACTGCAAACCCTTCTTCCCCTTCATATGCTCCTCTGCACCCGCTCCGTCCTTCCTCTTCTCCTTCCATCACTGCATCCTGGGCAGGTGCCCCTCAGCCTAGTAAAATCCACACCCCAGCCATCTCACTGCTGCTAATCATGCTGCTGCAGCTGCTGATACGGCCGCCGCCACTGCTGCTGCTGCTGCTGCTGCTACTGCTACTCCTGCCGTGGCCTTTTCTGATGCTGCTCGTTCTAGTATTATCCCAGTTGGTGCAGCTGGGTCAGCTGGGCTATGCGACAGAGCAGCAGGTGAATCAATCGGTTATCAACATATGCAGCAACTGGCTGATCTCCTCAAAACTCTTCTAGGGAATCAGATCGACACCAGTGCACATGCTGCAACCACAGCCTTTCCCATGGCTTCTCCTCTTGCTGCTTCCAGCAGTTCTGATACAGCTCCTGCCCCTCCAACTCCTCCTGCTGAAGCTGCTGCAGCTACTCCAGTTGCAGGCTTTTTGCGACCCTTTGGAAGCGATGTTTCAGTACCTCATATTTTGCTGCACCACCCTCGACATCAGTCCAGCAGGGGAAAAGGCACAAGGCACAGCTCGCAGTAACATTAGGCCAGCAGCAGCAGCAGCAGCAGCAGCATGGTAAATACCACCAGCATCAGATGCTTCAGCAATACATGCCTCAGCAGCACATGTCTCAGCAGCAAGGACTCTGTCCTGCCATTCCTCTACCACCTCAAACTCCCCTTCAAGGCGCCAACCAGTATGAAACGCGCTCTCATGCCTCCTACACCCAGATGCTGCAAGCGGCGTTGGAGGGACACGGCGAGCAAGGGAGGTTAGATGTGAGAAGCGCGGGTGGCAGCCCGCTGCATACCAGTGTGTGGGACAGAGGTCCGGCAGAGGTCGTTTTTGAGGCGCCTAAAAATAAACACGGCGAGCAAGGGAGGTTAGATGTGAGAAGCTCGGGTGACTGTCTGCTGCATACCAGTGTGTGGGTCAGAGGTGCGGCAGAGGTTTATGGAGGAAGGATGGATGGAGAGAGGAAAGGAGGAGGAGGGAATGGCGGGTTCGGTGGTTTGGAGGCGATGTTTCGGCTCACCAGCACGTATGGAGGATCATGGGGCTCTGGGATGGAAGCAGTGGGGAAAGGAAGGGAAGACGGCGGGGGTGGTGGCCTGGAGGAGGTGATTCGGCTCACCAGCGGGTATGGAGGAGCATGGGGCTCTGGGATGGAGGACAGAGAAACCGACTTGCCAGGACGGGTGGGAGTTGCAACAGCAGGAGTAACAGCAGCAGGGGTGGCATCAGCAGGGGTGGCAGCAGCAGGGGTGGCAGCAGCAGGGGTGACAGCACCTGCTGTGAGAGCTGAATTAACTGGGGAACAATTAACTGGGGAAGATTCAACTGAAGAAGAATTAAGCGGGGAAGAATCAACTGGGGAAGAATCAACTGGGGAAGAATCAACTGGGGAAGAATCAACTGGGGAAGAATTGACTGGGGAAGAATTAACTGGTAAAGAATCAACCGCGAAAGAATCAACTGGTGCAGGTGTTATGGCAGTAGGGGATAGGGTTTCAGTGGCAGGGGTAACTGCAGCAGCGAGAGGAGGAGGGGACCTGCTGACATCGCTAGATGGGTTGGAGTTAGCAGATATAGAGGCGCTTCTACTGAATGTGGAGGGAGAGCTGGGATTTATCAGCAGCAGCATGGTCAGCGAGTTAAGCCAGCCTTCCAGCCAACCTCTTAGCCAACCTCTTAGCCAACCTCTTAGCCAACCTCTTAGCCAACCTCTTAGCCAACCTCCTTGCCAGCCTCCCAGTAGCAGCACTGTCTGCACCATTCAGCCCATTAGCACTGGCTTGGCCATCAGTCAGCCTCCTGAGGGACTGGCACCATCCGTGGCACTGGGATCAGCTTTGTTTTCACCCATGCATGGTGGGTCTGAAGGCTCGTTTGCATCAGAGAAGGGGATTGCTGCGGCCATGGCTGCTTGTCACACTGCCAGGGCCACTGGTAGCAGTGATGGCATGCGGTTTAAAGGGCAAGGTGCTCTGTTCGTGCCACTGGGTCAGACACGGGCAGATGGATCAGCAGAAGCAGGAGATAAATCAGTGGTAGCAGCAGCAGGAGGAGAGACACAGGCAGCAACTGTAGGCAGGATTGTCGATGTATCGGGAGAGTCCCAAATGGGGAATCCGGGATTGAGCAGCAGTAAGGGCACTGGAAGGAAGCTCTCTCCAAAAAGGAGTCGTGAGGAGGACTGCTGAGGCTTGCTGCAAGCAGCTGTTCCATGGGAGGCCGTGCTTTTCTGCAAGAAGGGATTGAGCAGCAGCGAGGGCACTGTAAGGAAGCTCTCTCCCAAAAGGAGTCGTGAGAGGGACTGCTGATGCTTGCCGAGCGCAAAGGTTTCTTGAGCCTTAGTATCTCTTGGGGCTGCTAGTGTACATAGAGTGGTGGTGACATCTTTAGCCCTGAAGAAACAAGTAGAGTTGTCATGTGAAGGAAGGGATGGTAACCTTCCATTTCCCTGCGGGTGCTGAAATTGTACTATCATCCCGCGGATATGCACAGGTGCACTAATAAAATAAAACAATAGCAATAATATTAATAATTATTATAAGTAAAGTACAGCAGATGTCAAAAACAAACTAGATGCCATACACAATATGTTTTTGAAGGGATCAACTCAACACTCTTGGCCCTCCATTTGGAATGGCCCTCCCACGCGATGAAGGGAACATTCCTGTGGGGACACAACACAAGCGTCTCAATCCCGTCATTAAACCTACGTATTGTTCTGCACCGCATTACACCTAAGAATCCAGCATTTGCACCGCACTGTATCTAGTCGTTTGAGACGCGGGGCTTTTGTTGTGACGCACTTCAGGAATGCTCCCTAAGTTGTTGCATTTCTTAAAAAAATAACCATATTTAACATGCGCATTTGATAGGAGTGACGATTGTCGCAATTCGCACACGTTGTAGGTACTAATAAGCTTGAATGGATAATTGTGCTTCAAGAATTGAATGGAATATCTACTCCGTATCTAGAGCAGTTGCTTTGATTTTCATGTACTCCTATGGCTTCTATCCAAGCGCTCACGGGAAAATGAGCTGTTATTTGGGAACAGGAAGGACATTGCTCCTAATATTCTATGACTCCTATTCTATGTCGACGCTATCCATAGACCCTGGCCCAGATTTCCCCATCATATGCACACTACCAGCTCTCGGGAAAAACATCTTCCCACGAACCAGCTGCTTAGAATACAAAATCAGCAGTCCTCTTCCTCTTCACGGCTCCTTTTGGGAGATTGCATCCTCCTAGTGCCCTGGCTGCCACGATTCCCCCTTTGTGTTTCCCCTGAAGCACTGGCAGTCATGCTTGCACTGGCTGCTTCTGCACCTGAAGATGCACCTGCTGCTTCTGCTGTTGCGGCTGCGGTTGAACCTGTAGATGCTGCTGCTGTTGATGCTTCTCCTGACTCTGCTGCTCCATCTGTCCATGTTTGTCCCGCGGTCAGAGGTACTGCTGGTGATGGGAAGAATGACTCTGGAAGGGACAGAGCATCTTCACCCCTAGCCCACATGCCATTGGGAATGGGCTGAGCGCTGCCAGCCATGCTGCTCATTGGATGCGGGCTGAAACCACTGAGCATACTGCTGAACGTCCCCAATTCTCCCTCCGCATCCAGCAGAAACGCCTCTAGGTCTGCTATCCCCAACCCATCACCCGATGTCATCAGCTCCCCTCCTCCTCGTGCTGCTGCCGCTGCCTCAGATGCCGCGGCTGCCTCTGCTGCTGAACCCCCCATCCCTGCTGCCCCCACCCCAGCACTGGTTGGTTCCACCCCTCCTGCTGCAGCTTCTGCATCAGCTGCCGCCACCCCTGCACCACCTGATGCTACCCCTGCTGGTGCTGCTCCCACCCCTCCTGGCAAGTTCCCTTCTCTGTGCTCCGCCCCAGAGCCTTTTGCTCCTCCGTACCAGTTAACATGACGGATAATCGCTTCCAAGCCACCATCCCCACTGTCCCCTCCACCCCTCCTTTCTCCCTCCTTTCCCCTTCCAGCCACCTCCGTTCCACCTCTCCCCCACATGTTGGTATGAAGCAGCGAATCGCTCTGGGTTTCCATGTCTGTCCTCCCTTGCTCAGCCTGCCCACCCAGCACCCCTTGCGATGACCCAGGATGGTTGTAGCTGTGGGTGGTACGAAAGGAGGTTGCATGCTGATTGGCACCTGGCAGAGGGACAGCAGGGCAGGACGCGCTTCTGGGACGCGAGGGATCAAGACTGAGATCCTGCTGCTGAGACATGTGCTGCTGAAGCATTTCATGCAGGGAATATTGGCCACGCTGCTGCTGCTGCTGCTGCTGCTGCTGCTGCTGCTGCTGCTGCTGCTGCTGCTGCTGCTGCTGCTGCTGCTGCTGCTGCTGCTGCTGCTGCTGCTGCTGCTGCTGCTGCTGCTGCTGCTGCTGCTGCCGATGCTGCGGCTGCTGCTGCTGTTCCTGGTACCCCACACTCCCTGTGTGCTGCCCTTTGTGTCTCTTCCCCTGCTGGACTCCTGCAGAGGGTGCTACAACCGAATATTGGGGTGCTACTACCGAATTTTGGGCTGCTACTACCGAATTTAAGGGTGCTGCAACCGATGAGGGTGGTGCTACAGCTGCATGTAACAGTGTGTCTAAGGGACTCCTCAAGGATTCCCCATTACCCGTATTGAGAGCGGCAGCCATACTTTGAATGGCAGAGGCTATCGCAACCACTCCAGAAGCTGAACCTCCGAAGGGTTGGGTATCGCTTGCAACTGGAGTAGCAGCCTTAGCAGCAGCAGAAGAGGCAGTGGCAGGAGCCGTAGCAGGCCCAGTAGAAGAAGAAGCAACAGGAGTTTCGCTGGTGCGAGTTGTAGTGGCAGCACTGGTACTGGCTGCTGGGTTTCCTAGGATGGATTTGAGGAGATTGGCCAGTTGCTGCATGTCCTCCTGTAGTTTCTTCTGACCTGCTGCTGCATCAGCCGGATCAGCTGAATGAGCAGCACTGGCTGGGTCTGTACTCGCACCAGCAGCAGCAGCAGCAGCAACAGCAGGGGCAGAGAAGGTTGGAAGGATGGCTGCACGCTGCATTGTATGTGGCTGAGAGGGCTGGGCAGCACCAGAGGAGGATGCAGTCATGGAAGCGGAAGGGGTAGGACAGGACAGGTGCGGAGGGGCAGACCACGAGGAAAAAGGGGCTGCGCTCGCCTGCTGGTAACCACTCTGCTGTGGTGCACTGTGGCCTTGATGTTGCTGAGAGGCAAATGAAAAACCAGCGTGTTGGTTCGGTGGTGCGCTCGTGAGTGGCAGAGAGAGAAGATGGACTTGGGAGTGGGTTTGGGGGAGTGGAAGGAGGGTATTGGCTGGTGTCAGCTCGGTGGCACCTGGTGTAGGCGGTATTGTCATTCCTTCTGGAACTACCATTCCTTCGGTATTGTGATCCTCCCCAGTGCGCAACCCCTGCTGCATCAACTCCCATAACCCAAAAGACTCTGCCTCCGCTTCCACCTCAATTAGATTGTCACCGTCCCTGCTGGCAGGCGGCTCTGAAGATTCTGCCTGAAGCAACAGCTGCCTGAATGATGGGTCGTGAATGAGGACTTGCTCTAACTCCTGCTGCACTCCCGGGATGTTCTGCTGCTGCTGGGGCAATAACCCTTGCTGCATTGCTGAATTGCTGCTTTGCTTCTGCTGCTGCTGCTGCTGCTGCTGCTGCTGCTGCTGCTGCTGC